TTTCAGTCTCTTCTTGGAGTTTTTATATACTGTTTTCCAGGGATATCAAGGATGGCATCGCCACATCTGTATTCCTACTCCGCTTTTGCGTCACCAGTTATCGCTTTTGATCGCTTGAAAAACCGTAGTGGCTGTACATAGAGGCGAAAAAACAAGCTTTGTCCGAGGCTAACTATTCTACACCTGTCGTAAAAAGTTCTCTTCCACGAAGTCGACCCGGGTCGAGTCAGCGTACAATCGGGACGAATCGAACAGCTTTTAATCCACCTTACCTGGCTTCGAACACCCAGCTATTACACACAGACTCGCTTCTATTACACCTTACGCGTTACAATCTAACTTCTTGCATATTTTCGCTCTTAATGGTCAACCGGATGCACGGTGAAACAATCGGTTCGTATTGTACGCGCAGTTTCATTGATCACTGTGTACAGAACGATTCTAGGACCCTTTTCAAGTAGGCCGCGAAGAATAGAAAATTAAAAATAAAAGTGAACAAAACCTACATTATATTCATATTTCAAAAATTTGAAAAGCAATTATCGATGTAAACAAATTTAAAAAGTGTCGTCAAAATTAATTACGATCTAAAATTTATTTAGTGGTAGATTTCAGATTTTTTAGTGATTAGTCTGTTAAGTAAAATGCTTAAGAACCACTTGTATGAGGGATTTGCATATTTGGTTCTGATCTCTTCTGGTTCCTAGAGTCTTCTTATGCGGGAAGGTAATTCGTCGAGTCTGGTTCTACCGATTTTTACGTTCTACACGTAACTTTTGACGAGGCGCTTGATCGCTGACACGGTTCGGGGCTTGTGGCTTGTCCAGTTCGACTTCCGGTTCGATTAACCAGGAAGTTAAACCGCTTAAAATCGCTACGGTCAAGTCCCCCGATGATCGGTATTATTTATCTTTTATTTATCGGTATTATATGACCTATACTTGCTTCCACACACATTGAGGGCGCACCTTAGGGACCGCTGAGGGTTGTAGAAGGGTAGCGACGCACAGGCGAGATCTAATAACTTGTTATCCTCTAACCGTAACGGGCTAACCGAAAACCCTTAGATCTACGGACAAAGGCTTCGAGCGTTCAAGGAACAACTGGAAGATCTCTGCCCGTCTATGGACGCCTCGGTGAAGAAACCCCGGCGGGAATTCGTCTCGACGGTCGACGACGTCGCGAGAAATCTGGACAATCTGAACATGAAGTACACCACGCTCGTGAATATCCTTCAGGAGCGGGTCAGGCGGATGGCCACGCTTAATCCCGAGGATGCGTCTCTGCAAGTGAGTCTCTGAATATCTATCTTTGTGTTTAACTTTACTAATTTCCGTTAACTAAGCCACGTTTCCACACGTTTGCTGCATGTACATAATTACATATATGTGTTGCAAAAATTTTCCACTCGAAGTAGTGCGACTTTTTAAGTTTCCGAGAATGTATCTGAAAATGGACTTAGGTGCTTGTTCACCAGGTCAAAAGGGTAACAAAGACACACTGTTCGAAACGCTACGAACCATCCGAACGAACCAATAGGCAGAATTGTAGGCGCAGAGTGACCAATAACTCAGTAGACATCAATTCTTCGTCCGATTATTTAAAAATTATCGTCAACCCACACGCAACAGTCCTGTCCGAGGTCAGACTCGCCCAGAGGCGGCACTCGAAATGTTAATTGTTTTCCGCGAGCAAAACCATCGGTGACCAAGCTCTCGTTGTCCTTCTGTGCGTCGCCCACGCACGGTATTGTGCGTGGTAACTCGACGCAAAGTTTCATCCTTCCCGCCGTCGTTCGTCGCGCGGAATCGATATACGACGCTACGTCACGCGTGGTGGCAGTGGCTCGATAGGTAACAGGCGACGGCGCAGAATGCAGAAACTTTGCACCACACACACACAGTTGGCGCTGGTCCCCCCGTTCGCGTTCGACATCTCGAGACGGCGCATAAAACACGCGTCGTGAGGTGGTGCCCCGCCGGTCTCTGGTGCCGGCTGTTTCCGTTTAAAATCGTAATTAAAAATGCTCGTGGAGGCCGGTCAAACGTCCTCCAGGACCACGTCCGCCATGCCTGAGATCAGGATCGTGCGAAAGGTATCTATTAACTGTACAAATTAATTCGTGGTCTTGTTTTCCATAGATTTGTCGTTTATTTAGAAAAACAAACAGAATACAATCTAGTCTTAAAATATACCTTATCACTTTTTATATATTTACGTCATTTCTGGGACCAATGTCCTAACGAAATAGTCAGATGGTGGTTCGGAGTCAATACTTAATTATGGAGGGCCATGAATCTGATTTGTACATCTAGTACCTCTTGGGAAATAAAAACTAGGACACTACTGTGCGTGTGTCCCTCCTCCCAAGAAGTGACACCAGAAGGGTGGGGATTATCCGCGAGCGTAGAGTTTTTCCTCGATTGCGCTGTCACGTGTACAGTCGCGGTGGGAGCACGTGCGACGATGGTTCGCCGTCCGTTAGTCATCGATTACGTTATCCTTAATTTTACACTATTCCTCCGAGGTCGATAAAACGGTGTCGCGAGAATGGTGTTCACGATGAATCTCGGCTTTCGCGCGAGGAATTTATGAATAGTAACTGAACGTGTCGTCGTCGTCGTCGTCGTCGTCGTTCGTAGAGACCACTCGTTCGTAAAAGACACTCGGTCGCGTTTCTAAAAAAAGAAATTCTGGCTTTTCCGCGCGCGCGGACCACGACGCCTCGAGTTTACGGGATCGGGGGCCGGCTTCCTGCCAACAAATCGCGCGCGGCTGGCTCTCACAGTTGCTCGGTGGAGCTCGAGGCGGATTAATTGACCGTATCACAGTTTCCAGTAAGACTGTCATGCCCGGGAATAGACATGATTCTGACAGTGACACCGAGACCTGAGTGACATTGTTTTTTCCTGGTGATTAGGTGGAATGAATCGAACCGTTTAATCGGTTTCTGGGATCTTCGTTGAACCCGGTGTTGTGGGACAGTGTTGTTGCGATGACGCTCGATAAGAGGATCGTGAACACGGTAATTTTTAAATTGCACCTTGTTTTTACACGTTCGGAATATCGATCGAATACGGGGAGGAGTATGGATTGTTGTTCACCCTTTCAATATTTATGTCGAGTATACTCTTGTCAGGAAACTAGGGCATTTGCTAATTAAAGTCAAATTTAGCTAAACCAAACAACATATTTGTAATTTTAACATATTTTGGAATATTGTAGGGCAAAAATGCATCTATATTAAAAAAAAAAAGAAATATGCAGCAGTATACATATGTATGAGGGCTGTTTTGATAGAATTTATTTCTATTTTACAGCAAATGCATTCTACTCTGTGTTTGTCGAGTATACTCGTCATAGGTTGAAAATAATTAAGCACACAAGTGCACGTTTTCAAAATGAAATGAAACACTTAAAGGGTTAACACGCATCGCGTGACTGGAAGCTTGTTTTTTTCGCTTCGCGTAATGGGGGATGTTGCTCGATTACCTAAAATGTGTCGGAGCGATAACTGCTCTTCGGTAGAGTTGTTTCGCGGAGTATTATTCGCTGTCGTGTTTAGACCCTATTACAGGATGCAGTTTAACCGAAAGTTTCGGAGCTGTAATTATTGTGTAAGGTCAGTCTCACCCTACCGATGAATACTCTGGAATATATACCTTTTGATAGGAAGGCACGCCAGAAGGGGTTTAGTTGTAGAAATTCATCGTGGTCGGAGGAGTTGAACGGCAACAGAACCTCCGTGAATTAACTTGGAAGCCACTCACCAAGTTTGGATTCTTTCCCAATTTCTTGTAAATTGTGCTAGCGAATGAACTCTCGGTCCTTCTAAATGTGGATCCGCGGTGATTAGGGTCTCGAGCGGTCCGTTATCAGAGAAACGTGTATCTTTGAAATATTTTACATAGATTCCATATGTGCCGGTGATTATGAAAGTGGTTTGAGTCAAAAATCTAAAAAAAAAAAAAAAAATTAATGTATCACTTATTTGGGTGTTACATCGATTTACGTTACAATAATATGAAAGTATTTTTGCTGAATATCCAATTGCCTTAGGCAACTTTCACAATCACCGGCACATATGTGGTCATAGTGATTTGCATAATTTCTAATTAACAACGAAACGACTATAGAATCTAATCTGACGTACATTTTTCACGTTCCAGCGCGCTCTCCAGGAGCAAAAGCCGCTTAGAACCTTCCGAACGGAATTCAACATCTACGAGAGTAGCACCTGCGAGGAGCGTTTCAGCTCGACCACGACGCACTACACCCAATCGCAGTGAGTATACCCACAGAATCGATGTAAGGTATCGCCCCCCCCCCCCTCCATAAAGAACAATTACAGATTCCTATCGTTGGTTCACAGGTACAGCCTCGAGCGTCACGAAAGAACAGAACGAACCGAAAGGACCGAGAAGATCGTGTCGGACAAGGTGCGTCGCGCTGGTTCCCAGGAGGTCTCGCGTCCGGTTCCCGATGGAACCACGACGACGCACACCGTCGAGAGGAATCACGAGCTCGAGAAGGAAACGATACGAAGACGGGAGGAGGACGAGAAAAGGGAGGAACGTAGCGAGGAGAGGGACGAATCGTCCTGGTCGAGGACGACGAGCAGCGCTAGCGGCGGAAGCGTGCATTTTAGCGAGATTAGGAGTCTAAAGAGGATAGAACGGGCGGACGAGGGTATGGGTACAGAGAACGTTATTGAGAGTAGGGGTATCGTGGATCCGAGAACCGGTAACGTGTTGACGGTGGGCGAGGCGATCAGTCTTAGGATATTGGACGTTAGGAGGGGTAGGATAGTGTGCTCGAGGGATGGAAAACAGACCGTCACGATAGAGGAGGCGGCCCGCGAGAAGATGATCGACACGAGGCTCGCGGATCGTCTGCTAGGCCCGTGCGGTTACGATGAGGAGGGACGACCGGTGTCTCTGCTCGAGGCGATCCAACGGGAGCTGTACGACGCGGAGAAAACCGACGGAACGGGGGACAGAGCGAAGGTAACATACAGACAGACTACACCCGTGAACGACGCGGTTAGCGTAGCCGATGCGATAAAGGACGACGACCACCAACCGGTCGATGGGCATGGTTCTTCCGCGTTGGACCCGCGGACGGGCGAACTGGTCACGGAGGACGGAGAGAGGCTGACGGTCGAGGAGGCTCACGCGAAAGGTTACCTCGCGAAGCTGGACGTGACCGTCACGGTGAAGAGAAACGCGTTGCCCCTTTCCGACGTGATATCCCAGGGACTGGTCGACGAGACCCTCGGTCGCGTTCTCGATCGTGTCACCGGGAAAAGTTACTCGCTCGACGAGGCTGTCGAGAAAGGGATACTGGACTCGACCGCGAGGGAGATCGTGGACGTTAGGAACGACACCAAGGTGACGCTTGTCGAAGCCATGAAACAGGGCATCATGAATCCTGTAACCGGGAAGTACATGCACGGCCTGACGATGGAGAAACTGTCTCTGAAGGAAGCGCGTAGGAGGAAATTGATCGTTAAACCGATGACGCTTAAAGATTGTCGTGACTCGGAAATTATCGACGAGAGCGGTAGGATCACTAGTCCCGCGCACAGGACGAAATTGACTGTAACGGAGGCGATCGAGAGGGGCGTACTTGACGCCGATCGTTTGAACTCGATCGTTGACGCGAGAACGGGCGAAGCGATCACGTTGTCCGAAGCTTTGAACCGCGGATTAATTAACCCCGAGAAGGCTACGTATAGAGATGCGAATTCGGAAGAGGAGCTTGCTCTTTCCACAGCTGTCGAGAAAGGTCTTGTCACTTCTCTTGCTCAAAAGACTATATTCGATATAGACGGTTTCAGGGATCCTTTGACCGGAGAGTATGTGAGCTTAAACGCTGCCTTACTGAAAGGTCTAATCAGTTCCAAAGCCGGTGGTAGCTATATTGTTGATCCAAACACGGGAGAGACAGTTTCACTGGCCGAAGCGGAGGAACGAGGCTACGTTCGACCAGAAGTCTCAGAAATGCTCAACAGGGGAATAGGAATCATCGAGGAAGGCAAGGAGATCACGCTTCTCGAAGCTGTCTTCTCCGAACTTCTTGATCCCAAGACTGGTCTGCTGTTAGATCCTAGAACCAAGAGGCCAGTGTCTCTCGAGAACGCTCTAAAACGAGGACTGATCACACCCGATGGCGCAGCTTTGCTCACAGGGTTGTTAAACGTCACGGTTACCACGCAGACGGTGACGAAGGTGAAGGAAGTTTATCCAGAAGAGATAGAAAGAGCGGAGAAGGCGCGGATTAATGAAAAAGAAAGAAGTCCTTCTGTCGACAGATCGATGGATGCTGTAGATTCGTTTGAAGAGTCCCTTAACGACAGTGTTCCTAGAGCAATTGGTACCACAACGACTATCATCACTAAAGAGCGAGTGATCTCCTCTTCGCAGGTGAAAGGGACCACTGTAATTAACATTACAGACAATTCGTTCGAGACAGTATCTACGGACGAGGACACAAATGTCCTGAAACCATCGTGGTCCAGACAGCACAGGGATTCCGAGGATGATCAAAACATGAACGTCGAGTCTCCAAGGGACAATGTTCCCAAGGAGGATAATTCCTCTGCAGAAAGAAGAGTATTTGAACTGCCAACCGACGGCTGGCCTTTATCCGAGGCGATCGACCGTAAATTATTCGATCCAATCACAGGTCTCTTCATAATTCCAGGCACGGACAGGTTAGTGTCCTTCGAGGAGTGCGTGAAGCTTCGGATAATAGATCCAAATTCGAGTTTCGTGGTCGATCCGAACAACGGCAGGAAGGTGTCCCTGCTGAGAAGTCTAGAGAAGAATATCTTGGATTCCACGGGTCACTATACTCATCCTCAGAAAATATCAATGAAAGAGGCGATCGGTAAAGGATTAATTATACTGGAAGGCAAGCATCCCGATGGCGACAGCTCCCAACAAAGGCTGCTACGAATCACAAAAGTGTCGGGAGAACCGGATAAGCTCGAGCTCTCGAGGCCGGACGATCCTTCGAAGCAGTTAGAAATCAAAATCAACGAAGCTACTCACACGATACCGGATCCAGTCAGGGTCTCCAAAGGTCTTATTTACGACCCTAGTACTGCTCTAGTCATATCAACCGAAACAGGGAAATCCAGTGAATTGTTATCGGCCCTTTTCGACGGTACTCTGCCGTCAGAAGTAGTGATCGTTAAGGATCCCGTCTCAGGAAAGTATGTAGGCATAGCAGAGGCCATTCAGCGTGGTATCCTGAACGCGGAGACGGCTGAATACAAGGTGGACGAGAACAGAAAGATATCTTTGCTCGATGCGGCAAAATTCGGTATAGTCTCCGTTGTGGGCTCGCCCTTGGTACCAGTCACATCCTCGTCACCTATCACCGAAACAGCTCCGCCTCATAAGACAGAAACTGTACGAACTCCTGTCGAAGAAACATCGTACAACGAACAGGAAGAGATAACAGGTAAACCTACCACTTCCACTTCGATCTCTGAACTAGACTCTGCTCTTGGTTCCACGTCTATGATGGATTCAGTGATTGATTCCTCTCCAACAGCAGCAACCAGTGAAGAGCATTCGGTGTCCAGGACAGAAGGGGATGTTGAACCAGAGGATTTAAAGAGGTCCAGCTTCGAACCCAAGTATAAGGTAACCGTTGGGAAAGCAATGGTGTCCGTGTCAAACGGAGAAGCCAAGCCGATAGTTCTTCAGAAGATGAGAAAAAGGGTTGTCAGACCGGAGGAGGCGTTAGAGAGCGGCTTGATCGATGCAGAGACGGCCGAGATTATCACCGTAACAATGGCCGTGGACGATGGAAAACCAGTTACTTTATCGGAAGCTTTGAAAAGCAAAAGGATCAACGCCGCGTCAGGGAAGATCGTAGATCCCCAAAGAGGTGATATTCTTAATATCGGAGAAGCCGTTGAACGTGGAATCCTGGATCCAGAGAGCGCCGATGTTTTGGTGCCTTTGGCGAAGAGTCTATCTATTCCTGGTCTGTATAAACAGGGTCTTTTGGACCCTGAAGAAGGCAAGGTCGTTCATCCAGAGACTGGAGCTCATCTGACTCTCAGAGAGGCTATTCTATGCGAGATAGTGGATCCTCTGTCGAAACTAACTTGTTCAGACGGACGTACGGACACGCTTCGTAACGCTATCGAGAGCGATCTTGTCGATCCCGAAAGATCCTTGATAAGGACCAGCGAAGGTGCCAGCGTTAATCTAGTGACAGCTGTCGAGAACAACGTTTTCGCGGATTCGGAGAAAAATCGGGAACAGATACCACCCGCTGGGATGACTTTCACTGTGGCTCTAGAAAGAGGTTTGATAGACGCTACCGGAAAAGAAATACGACATCCGATCACCAAGGAACGTTTGTCCCTCGAGGACGCCATTAAAGGGAATTTCATAATGGCTCTGCCTGGTCCTGTTACGTCCGACAGCATGGAGGTGACGAAGGCTCTGGAGGCCGGTCTGATCGATCGAGAGAAGGGTGTTTTCGTTCATCCGTCGACTGGAACATCGGTACCTGTTCTGGAAGCCATTGAATCCGGTCTGCTGGTAGTCAAACCACCGACTACTTGCGCTACAGTCACCACTACTATCAACGGCGGTATCACCGAGACCGTCACCTCCTATCATACCGTTACCACGAAGACTTTGGGTATTTTATCCGGCTACGAGTTAGTGAATGCCGCAGAAGTGAGGAACATTGAAACTGGCGAGAAAATCAGTATCGAAGAGGCGAGACACAGAGGTATAGTCAGAGACGAATCTGAACGGCGAGAGGAGTTCACTACCAAGGACATTAAAATGTCTTTCGACGATGCATTACAAAAAGGTCTCCTCGATATCACAGCTGGTACTTACACCAATCCTTCGACAGGAGTCGCCATGTCTATTCAGGATGCTGTTGAAAATGGTTTTCTGGATGTACCCTCTGATCAACCTGATTCTGATTCCACAACCCAACAGATCGATGAGATTTATGACGAAAAGACAGAAAGATTTGTGGATCCAGATACGAAGAAACCTTATACCCTTACTGAAGCGATGGAGGTCGGACTGGTTGATCCTAATGCTGTAATTTATAATCCTAGAACCGCTGAGGCTGTGACGACCAGAGAAGCGCTACAGAGGGGAATGATCGATCCTGTCACGGGAAAGACGAAAGGCCCTGAAGGACGTGGAGGGGTTTCATTGAAAGAGGCTGCGAAATTGGGATTATTGGCCGTGGTTGCTGCTCCCGTTCTTGCTGGAAAGGCGGTATACGATGCTGTTCGTGATGCCTCTGCGAGTAAAGATAAGGCTGAGGAGCCTGGAAAACAAAGGGAACAAATTGGACCGTTGTCTCGTGTGAGAGAAGAACAGAAAGCTTCATCGGTTGTGTTCGAACAGACACTGTCAGTGGTAGACGGTGGTCTTCAAGGACAGTCGATGATGCCCAAGAAACCTGTAAAACCATTGCCAATCAAGGAAAAACAAGAAGCAGCGACAAAGCCGCAGGAGCAACCAGAAAAAGTGGATGATTTGAAGCAACAGGTTGAATCGAAACAACCTGGAGAATCCTCGATGAATCTGATCGAACGAGAGAAGTTGGAAGAGTCCTTGAAGCATCCAATAAAAGAAAAGGACAAATTGGATGCAGAAGTATCGAAAACGATGGAATTAGAAACAGGTCAAAGACCACCAGAAGTACAAGAACAGCAGTCAGAGAAGTCTGTGATGTCTTCTGTTCGGATAGAAGAGCCAGAACAAGCCTTGAAAACACAGTACCAGCACAAAGAAGAAATGAAAACACTGCCAGAGGATACTTCAGAAGAGTCTGAACAATCGGAGATCGAGAAGGATCACGAACAAGAATACGAATTGGAATCCACTGAAGGAAGAAGGTTTGTGATCCAGATCACTCCCACTTTAACAGCCAGGGATCTCGTCGCCCGAGGTGCTTACGATCTAGAGAAAGAGAAGTTCGTGGATCCTGAAACGGGAGACGTGGTCTCGTTCAATGACTTCGTGATGTACCTAGGAATGTTCGACCCTGATCAGGTGTTAGTCAAAGATCTGTCTTGTAAAACTGGGGACAGGTTCGTGTCCCTTCGGGAAGCAATCTCCAAACCCCTTGTGGATAGAAACCTGGGGTACATGGTCGACCCGAAGACAGGTAAAAAGATTCCGTTCTTCGAGGCGGTGAAACTGGGCCAGATCAAGGGGAGGCCAGCAATGCAACGACCAGACATCGTTGTGGTACCAGGACAAGAAGGTTTAAGTCTACGGAACGCCATTGCAGAAGGTCTGCTCGATCCAGAGACCTGTGAAGTGCAGGACCCAACGTCGAATCAGATGTTGACGTTGAACGAAGCTATAGAGATAGGACTCATCGATCCCAGCTCGATCAGTATCAGGGACCCCCTAAATGACGACGTTCAGTCCCTTCAGGAACTACTCGAGGCTGGAGGAAGAGTTGACGTTCAGGACGCTTTTATCAAAGGCTTGGTCGCCCCAAAATCACGCAAACCAATATCACTGGAGGCTGCCATCAGGAAGGGTCTTTACGACGAGAACACCGGTACCATTCTGGACACGTTGACCGGCCAGCCGATAGACGTAGAAGAAAGCGTCCGTAGAGGTTTAATCGACGCGTTCATCAGCGAGTGCGAGGACACAAAAGCTGGGACATTCCTGTCGTTGGAAGAAGCTCTGGGCGAATCGAAGCTTCTCAATCCCAGGACTGGTCGATTACGAGACACCAAAACCGGGGAATCTCTTCCGTTGAACGTTGCTCTCAAGAGAGGCATCATCGCCACTACAGGATTCGTTCCCACTCTGATCGATGCGATCGTTCAAGAATACTATTCTCCTGCGACTGGACTGGTCGCTAATCCGACAACAGGCGAAGAGACCACTCTGAAAGAGGCACTTGCCACCGGTTACGTCGACGGCGAGACAACTGTGGTAAGGGACGATCGAAACGACCGAGTGTTGCCATTGCACGAAGCCGAGCAGAATCAGTTGATCGATCTCGAGAAAGGAATACTGATTTCACCGCATCCGATGACGTTGGACGTCGCCCATGAGAAAGGATACATTCTAAGTACCGTGAAACCCTGGTCCCTGCAAGAGGCTCTCGCTCATCAGACTTACGACCCCGAGAAAGGTACCTTCGACATAGATGGCACCACCTATACACTCGAGAAAGCTCTCGAGATGGGCCTGATCGCCAAAGACAGTCCCTCCGTGAAGGATCCAAAGAACAGCGAGATTATTTCTTTAGGAGAAGCTATAAAACAAGGCCTGATCGATCCTAAAACAGGCACCGCTATTGATACCTCCACCAGCACACCTTTGTCTCTCACAGACGCTCACGATCGTGGGCTGATAGTACCAGCGAAGAGAAAGATTTCTTTACCCGAAGCGGTTTTCAAGGGCCTCTACGAGCCGACCACCGGTCGCTTCATCGTTCCAGAGACCCGCGAGAAGCTGCCGACCGATCGTGCGATCAAAGCAGGCGTGATCGATCCAAGCACCGCGGTGGTAATTCGTCAACCGGACGGCAAAGCGATCACCTTCGATAAGGCCATCAAAGAGCTGATAATTGATCCTAAAACGGGCACAGTGACCAACGAGAAAGGGAAACCTGTGGACTTTCGGGAAGCATTGGAACACGGTTTGCTGTTGGAGGCACGCCGACCGATGACCTTCAGCGAAGCGATCTCAAAAGGAATCTTGGACGTGAGAACAAACATGTTCCTCGATCCCCAATCGGGCGTCTATCTCAGTCTGTTGGATGCTATCCAGAGGAACCTGATAGACGCTGATTCGGTAACGGTGAAAGACGGCAGGAGTGGTTTGCGCGAGAGGATTTCACTAATGGAAGCTATAAGAACAGGTTACATCGACGGTTCCTCTGGCAAAGTCAGCGCCACGGCCGATTCCGATATGTCCCTGCAAGAAGCCCACGATGCTGGGCTGATAGTCGATCATAGAGCCGCGGTATCCCTGCAACGGGCGATCCATCAGGGCTTGTACGATGAACAGACCGGAAAGATCACGGATCCCAGTACAGGAAGGTTAGTCACGTTGCATGAAGCGATGAGGAACTGTCTGGTGAATCCTACTTTACCTTGTTATTGGGACAAACGAGCAGATAGATTGCTCTCGCTGGCGGAGACCTGCCGAGCAGGAGTGATCGACAGGAGGTCAGGGATGTTTAAAGAACCTGGAGGTAATAGATCGGTGTCTTTAAGTCTGGCCTTGCAGCTGGGTCTTATAATAGACATCGAGACCACAGAGTTCAGTCTACATCAAGCGATCATGATGAATATCTATGATCCTTCTTCAGGAAAGTTCACTCATCCATCCACCAACAGGAAGCTAACGTTAGCGGAGTCCTGCAGATCGGAACTGATCGATCCTCTCACCTCGATCGTGCGTGATGTTCGATCCGATAGATACATGCCACTCACGGACGCGATCTCTTTGACGGTGATCGACGAGACACGCGGCACCTACAACACCCTACCAGAAGGACTCATTGATCTGAAGGAAGCTTTCAGGAGAGGACATATTGTTCCCTCGAAATTTCCATTGAGCATAGAGGAAGCAATCGCCAGCGACCTTTACCGCGGTCAAACGGGACTGTTCGTTGATCCACGTACCAACGAGAGTCTCGATCTCACGCGTGCCTTCAATGTGGGCCTCCTCGATCCCGACACCACCGCCTTGAAGGACGCCACCACCGGTCAGATAACGTCCCTGTTGATGGGCATCGAGAACGGCGCGATAGACGTTCCTCATGGTCGTATTCTCGACTCGAAAACGAAACGTGGTTATCCAATTGATGTTGCCCTCGAACGTGGCCTGCTGGTCACCCTCGAGAAACCCCTGACGCATCAGCCAGCTCGACGAAGTCTTGCACGTAAAGACGAGCCCAGACAAGAGTACACCATCCAAGAGGCGATCGAGAACCGTCTTCTGGATCCGAACACAGCGGTAGTCAGAGACCCGAAAACTGGTCGTTTCATAACCATCAATAGCATCCTAACAGACGGTATCCTCGATCCGTCCAGCAGAGGTACGATCGCGTCAGACTCGCCTAAGACTCCCGATGGCAAGCTGACGCCTCGATTCGTTCGATTCGGGGACGTCGAGGTGTTCTTCACGCGACCTCTAACCTTCGAGGAAGCCATAGACGAGGGACATTTGTCCGTAGAAACTGGAAAACTGACCGATCCCAAGACCGGTGATATTGTAACCTTGAAGGACGCGGTTGGTTTGGGTATCGTGGACTCGGATAGCGCGTTGATCAAAGATACCAAGAAGAAGAAACTGGTGAAATTAGCCGTGGCGTTTAGGAAAGGTCTAATGGACGCTGAGAAGGGAAATGTTCTAGAGACAGAGACCTCGAGATTGTACCCGTTATCGCGAGCCTTAGAGGCGGAGCTGCTTATCACCCCCAAACGCGGTCTGCCGTTCATCGAGGCGTTGGAGTACGGGCTGTACGACACGGCGTCCGGTCGATTCGACGATCCGTTCCAGGTCGCGTCCGCTCTAGACCGCGTGCCCGCCGCGTTAAGGGAGGCGATCGACGCTGGATCGATCGATCCGTCCGGTACGGTGATCAAAGAACCGGGGACCGGTAGAATCGTTAGTTTGTTAGAGGCTATAAGCGTGGGGATAGTAGATCCTATAGCGGGCAGGCTTTGTTGCGAGGACCAATCGGGAAAGAGCCTTGACTTCGCGAAAGCCCTGGACCAGGGTTATATTCTCACCGCAGAAGCTAGGGTAAGTGGCACTCTTTCTTGCCTCCTCTTTTTCTACCCTGGACTTTTTTTCTATCTCTCTGTGCACTACGTCGGTCTCTGCGAAGCTTGCTAGATTGGTGCACATGAAATGTTTTTTTTTTTTTTTTTTTTTTTTTAAATGGGAATAGTATCCCCGTGATTAATGGTTTTTAGTTACTCGGCTTGTTTGGACTTAATACGTTCGTAGAGATGAGATTCTATAAACTCATTTCTTGAGGCTATCTATATAGTACCTTTTTTTAAATCCTTTGCACTCTAAGACATTTTTACTGTAAACGACTAGAAACTTAAATATATCTTTGTTCTGTCTGTTTCTGAGATTTAGAAAATTTAAATTTTATTCATTAATGTTCAGTTTGCATTGCGGTAAAGTCAACTTATTTGTATCTTGCCGGTAGAGCAACGGCGGTGGAGTGCGAAGGGTTAATAATTTATTTTTGGTTCGTCAATGGACCAGTATTTTTAGATGCATAATTATTATCTTTTTTTTCTGAACAATCAAGATTCCGTTCTATATTTTTGTACCTGGGGGAAAGAATAGAAATAACGTAAAATCATCCACAAGGAGCATCGTCCATTTCGTGGGCACCAACCTGCCGCTGAAATCCACTTAAGCATCCCCTCTCCTGCTGGCTCTTTTTTTACGTTCTATTTTTTCCTTTTTTGTCTGTTTATTTTTTCTTTTTCGTCCACGTTTTTTTCTCACGTTTAATTTTTTTCACATCTCTTTTTTTCTCACAGTCTAATCCCATCCATTTTTTTTTTCATATTTTTTTTGCTATCATCTCTAATCGCTTGCCAAAAAGTTATGGATCGTTACGTACTGTACGCTTACGATGCATCCTGTCGTCTATCGCTCTACGTGTGCGACGATAGCCGACCACCTTGTACTCTTTCTTTCATCGCGACTGTTTCACACACATTCACTGTCACTGCCGAATGACGCCTGTGTCAGTAGCAACGGGGATCGGTAATAGACACGACCGAGAATCATATTTTCGACACATCGAAATCATCGTCGCCAGAATCCTGCATGGGGATCCCTTTTGAGAGCGTGCCACGATGTACGTTTAAACGACCAATCACGTGTGATTGCGTCAGCATGTCACGGACGTGATTGAAAGAAGCGTAACGGAAATGCGTGACGTCTGCATGGGGAACAAGAAAACGATCGTCGTGAAAGATCGATAATAATCAAAAGAATCGTACCATCACGTTTCACGTGGGACGCTCCTCTCTTCCAAGCAGGAGTTGAAGACTGTTATAATATCGATTTCGGTTCTTGAAATTGTACAGAACTATACTTATATTGGTTCTAAATAGATCCGTTATTTTTTTCGGTTCTTATATCGGTTCTATTTCAGTTTTGTATCGGTTTTTAATTTATTTCTTAGATATCAGTTCAATTTTTGAAAAATAAACGTACATATGACAGAAGTACGAAAAGTAGTAGCACACGATTAAGAAGAAATGTCATGGACACTGGAGGGTATAATTCAACCCCTGCTTTAAACCCCTTCGCTCGCACTCGCATATACATACCTACATACACACAACATCCACCAACGGGGACGCACGTAATTCACTTTTCTCCATCGCGTAACAGGGGCCTTAATATTGTCGTACTATCACTAATCCAGCGGTTCATCGATCATACCGAACGGACGAGAGACCGTGAACGATCGGTGTTCGTTCGTGTGGACACGGATAATAAATTCGTGGTGTCGTGACCGCGGTCAACTAAAAACGCAGTTCCATCTTTCGTGTGTCGCCTGATCGCATCGGCAATGCTAACTTCGATCATAGTTATTAATAACGTTTGTTGGTAATCTGCACGTTGTTGGTTCGCCCATCCCGGGACGTTTCGTGTGCTCTCCTCTTGGTGTCTGTTCCGACGAACTCGGATGGAATTGAAATTGTTGTTCCGTCTTAAGGTATTCGGGAAGTGCAAACGGGAGCAAAGCACCGGAACGATACCGGAATAAATAATGTATTAACGCGTATATACATATCATGGACACTGTATGCACTCGCCATATATGGTGTGCAAAACGATCAAAGGCGATCGAATCGACAGCGACTAGTTGTTCAACGCCGTAGCCCACGTGTTGATCGCATGCCATCGGAGAACAGGTTATCCCATCGAACGCACCACACCCCCATCTGATCAGACCAAGTCACCATACAACAAACCTACCCCCCACCCCCCTCAAGCCCCCACGTCGACCATTTATATACTTGCATATATTTTCACTGTAATTGTTTTTTCACTGAAAAGTTTTCCTTTTTGTTTTCAGGTATTATCGTATATATTTTCATTTTAGCTCGATCCTGTTTGTTTTCTTTCTAGCACACCGAGAGTTTCTAGCGGGAATCTCGGAGCGTTTAAGCATTCTACATCGCCCGTTAAATCGCGCGCGTTCTCCCCCGTAGTCCATTCCCTCGCCGTCTCCCTCTCCCCCCACCCACTCACCCCAATTTCTTTTTCGTCATTTTCTCGTCAGTCACGTCAGTTCATTATTTTCGTCCGGGAAATCGTATTCTTTCAGTTTGTATATGCTTGCAGAAAAATAAAACGCGTCTTATTGACGAGAACGCGGCTTTCGTTCTGTTCCATCGTTCCGCTTGCCGACTGCATATAAGAACAAAAACCACGTACGGGACGAGTATGCAGTTCGATTACTCGCTGGCCAGATAATCAATCAGACCTCTTGGGTTCTTCTAAAACTGTGTTGTTTGTTTTTATTTTTGTTTTTTTTTTTCCTTAACTTATACGTTATATACATATTTATATACATATATGAATAACGTTGTTATATACGTTTTATACGTTCCAAGTGTGTGTATGTGTTTTGCATGCGTGAGATATGTTTATAAGCTTTACCATGTTATCGCCCCCCCCCCGAACCCCCTTTATTTGACTTATTTTTGGTAATCATTACAGAGTGACCGACCCATCGGTAAGGGGACGGTTTTTCTTTTTTTATTTTACTCTTGTATCTACGTTGTTAAGAGAGCACGTTAGATGATTAAGATTTTGTCCATCGATCATCGCACGTCTGTGTCGTTCGAAGCGATTCGTACCAATCGTTACCGTTTTTCTCTGTTGGAAATAATTGTAGCAAGCGGTCGAGGAGAAGTACAAACTGTGCGACGAGACCTCCTCGAAATTGCTACAATGGATAACCGAGGTCGAGGAGAAGCTGGCCAATCAGGAAAACGTCAAAGAGGATGTCGACGAGCTGCGGACTCAGATAAACGCGATGAAGGCAAGCACGATTACTCCTCCTTAACTCGGTTAAACTGACGAAATAGTTTATTAAAAAATATCGTCATCAATATTTTTAGGGGATCAAAGAAGACCTCGAAGCCCATGCCCGACCAGTCTCCTCCTGTCTCGATCAGATTCGTCAAGTGGTCCTCACCGGTGGCAACGTGTTGTCCAGCGAGGAAGTGTCCACCTTGGAGAAGAACGGTCGGTCCTTGAAGACAAGGTTCGACAGAGCCTCGGACCGTACCGAGAGGATGGTCAAGCGTTTGATCGCTGCCAGAGACGAATTGGTCAAATTCAAGTCGGTATCCTGACTCCTAAATGTCATTCATCCCCTCAGTCTAGTTGTCTAACAGTTGATTTCTTGCACGTAGGAACGAATTATCGACCTTCTCCCATTGGCTGGATAACGCAAGACGTGTTCTGGAAGAGAAGGAGCATTCCTTGTCCGACCTAAACAGACTAAGCAGCAGCACCGACTCTACCAGAGACTTCATCAGCGATGTTATAGCGCACCAAGCTGATCTTAGATTCATCACCATGGCCGCGCAGAAGTTCGTCGACGAGAGCAAAGAGTTCTTGCACGTACTGAACGAGTTCCGCACCAGTTTGCCCCAGAGGTTGTCTCACAAGGAGCCAATGTCCAGTCAAGACTCTCCAGTGAGAGGCGAAGTCTCGATAGTCACTGCTCAGTACAAAGATCTGCTGTCCAGAGCCAACCTTTTGTCCGACAAACTGTCTGGAGTTGGGGGAAGGCAGAGGGACTATCGTGAGTCATTGGAGAAAGCCAGGAGGTGGTTGAAGGAAGTCGAGCCCAAGGTTCACAGAGCCATCTCCGAGGCGATCGCAGCCGAACCGAAACAGGTGGAGGAACAGTTGAGCAGGGCAAAGGCATTGAACAACGACATGCTTGCGAATGAACGTTTAGTGGAGAACGTCAAGGTCACCGTTGACGCTCTCCTGAGGTCCCTTGATGGACAGCTGACACCGAAGGAGGTCGACGAACTCGAAGAGCCTGCCAGAGCTTTAGAGGACAAGTATAGACAGCTGACGAACGCAATTGCCGAGAAGTGTCAAGAACTGGACGCAGCTTTGGTGCGTAGTCAGGGTGTACAGGATGCATTGGATAATTTAGTGCTTTGGTTGAACAATATCGAGAGTCAGTTCAAGTAAGTATCGATCCAAAGTCATACAGTCGAAGAATCTAGCTGGCAATAAATGTACACGAATTGTTGTCTGTTTACAGGAACATCCAACGACCAGCAAGCTTGCAGAAGGAACGCCTGGAAGAGCAGCAGAGGGACCAACGTCTCCTGCAGGCAGATTTGGACAGCCATCGTCTGAGCGTAGAAGCGGTTGCGTCCAGTGCAAGGGATCTGCTTACGAATTCAAGCAACGCAAAGATCGCGAAGCATATAGAGAGCAAACTGAAAGACGTCCAGGGCAGGTTCGAGAAGTTGATGGACAAGTCTCTTCGCAGAGGTGAATTCCTCGATGAAATCGGCCAAGCTCTCGGCGACTTCTTGCTGGAGACCTCAAAGTTCGACAGCTGGTATGCTCATATAATCGAGGCTCTTGAGTCGAGGGACTTGAGCAAATTGGACGTTGCCGAGTACGAGACTAAAATGGCGAATTTGATGGACAAACGGGAGGATCAACGTGCCAACTTCGAAGATCTAATACGCAATGGGAAGACCTTGATTTCGAAGAAAGACGTCACGGATGTCGCACCTATCAGAGACAAGATCAAAGCTCTCGAGACTCAATGGAAGGAAGTGAACAATCTGATCGACGAGAAACAACGGCTCAGCAAGTCCAGAGCGGAACAGCTTTCTGCGTACGAGAAGCTTCGCGATCAGGTTATCGATTGGCTGACAAGAACGGAAAACAAGGTTCAGACCCTCGAACCTGTGGCTGTCGACTTGGAGAAGTTGAAGCGACAGGTTGATGAGCTAAAACCTATTCAGAAAGAATATCGCGATTACGGTAACACTGTGGATAAGGTCAACGATCTTGGAATCGCTTACGATGGCTTGCTGAAGGAACGCACTGAGAGTCCAACTCGCCGTCGTGGCAGCACTAGTCCAACCAAGAGACCAGGTATGCATTAGTCACTTCTGTTCTCTTATAATCGTACCTGTCGTGGTTGCCTACTTGCTTAATAGCACTTTCTTAACACTTTGAGCCTGATCATACTAGCTTCATCACGCATTGGAATCACCAAAGATTGTTTAGCGTGATAGTCACGCAGTTAACTCGTCGAAGAATCATGGTATATTGCTACACGTTGAAATCACCAGAGCGACGTCTTAAGTTTCTTTACCGTTCATGATTATAACACTTGATTCCAACTTGAATCGCACCCGGCTCAAATTGTTGACGATCCCGTCTATCGTTCCTCCGCGATCACTTCTATTTCATCACTGTCATCGTTCGCTCAACACACACCATTTTTTTTTTGTAGTACGCCGAATGTCACAAGACGGTCGCTCACCATCTCCCGCTAAATTGTATGCTGCTCAAAGTCCGGTCTCCCCAGGTGGTAGCAGCGGGTTCAGTAGTCGTCGCTCCAGTCAGGACGGTTTTCACCTCGAGGACCTGTCGCCTGTCCAACAACAGCTTTCCGAGATCAACAATAGATACGGCCTGCTTGGCGTTCGGTTGACTGATCGCCAAACGGAACTGGACAACGTGAAGGATGAGCTGAGGAGACACGTGGACAACTTGAAGACCCTGTCTCAGTTTCTGGAGAAGGTGACTATCAGTCATTCCCTGTTTTTTATTCGTTGCAAGAATCTTGTACCTGTATATCAAAATTTTTCTTTTTAATTGATCAGATCAAGCGACAGATACCGAAAGAGACGATGCCAAGCACCAAAGAAGAAGCGGATAAGACTGCCAAGCAAATCAAGGCGGTCATCGAAGAGATGTATGAAAAACAGTCGTTGCTGGACACCACAAGAACTCAAGTCCGTGATCTGGTCAGACGCAAGAAGGGTGCAGATGGTGTAGACAGGCTAAACGATGAAATGGAAAATGTAACCAGCAGATGGAAGTCGTTCAGTGATCGTTGCAAGGACAGGATAAAGTTCCTGGACGACGTGAAAGACTTCTACGATACATCAGAGGGCCTGGTCTCTTGGCTTGGATCGAAAGAAAGAATGTTGGGCGCGCTGGGTCCGATCTCAGCCGATCCCAGAATGGTCGCGAGCCAAGTGCAACAGGTTCAGGTTTTGCGAGAAGAATTCCGCACTCAACAACCTCAGTTGGACCACCTCGTCCAAGTTGGTGAAAATATTCTTGCCGTGGTGGGAACTGATTCCGCAGACGGGCAGAGAACCAGCATGAAATTGAAATCGATTCTGGACAAATGGTCCGATCAGTTGGCCAGACTCGACGAGAGGGCGCAGAGCTTGGGCGATGCGGTCGACACCAGCCGCGAATTCGACGCGAGTCTAAATCGTTTGCGTGACGCTCTACAAGGTATCTCTGACAATCTGGACGAATTGACCCTTGAAAAGGATCCAGAGGATCAACTGCGGAAGATCGAGAATCTTGAAAGACAATTGGAGGGACAAAGGCCTTTGTTGGCTGATGCCGAAGCAGCCGGTGAACAGCTCTGCGAAGTTCTCAGCGATCCAGCCTCCAAATCCGAGATCCATGGAAAATTGGCCGCTGTTGGTAGAATGTACAACAATCTTCAGAAGAAGTTGGACCACAAGAAGGCTGAGATAGAGGGTAACTTGAGAGACGGAAGACAATTCGAAGCGTCTTGCACTAAAACGTTGGGCTGGCTTGCCGATGAACTTGGAAACATGTCCGAGAAACTGTTGGTGTCCGCTGATCGAGATGTCTTGCAACAGCAGCTTGATCACCATGAGGTAAGAACAGCATTTATTAATCTATTTCAGAATTATTGTTACACCTGTCTCTTCGATACTTTGATTGTCGGAACTTTTGCCTTTCGTAGCCTATATATAGAAACGTGATGGGCAAAGAACACGAGGTCATCATGCTTTTGAACAAAGGTCGTGACATGATCACTCGATCCCAGAAAGTCGAGAACAGATCTTTGCAACGCGATTTGGACAAGATGCAGTCGCAATGGGATCGTTTGAAGAAGGATATCCTCGACAGGCACACGAAGCTACAGACTTGCGCGGAACACTGCAAGAAGTACTACAAAGCGCAGGATGCGTTCTTGCCATGGCTTAGGCAGGCTGAAGATCGACTCGAATGTCTGAAACCGGCCTCTTTCAAGCGCAAAGACATCGAGAAACAGCTGAAGGAACTTTCCTCGTTCAGAAACGAAGTTTGGAAACATTCCGGTGAATTCGAGAACAACAAGACACTCGGAGAGACCTTCCTTGGTGCGTGCGACATTGACAAGCAGAACGTCAAGAATGAGCTTGGCGCAATGAAGACCAGATGGGACAAATTGAACAACGGTAAGTACTTGATTCGTAAGATTTCTGACTGTTTTTATTGATACACTGATAATTAAATGAATTGGTGTTCTTAGATCTATTGACAAGAACACAATCATTGGAGGACACTGCACGACATTTGATGGACTTCAACGAGAATCTGCGGGACCTGCGACACGGCTTGCAGCGTTGCGAGGACAAGCTGGCGTCTCACGACGCAAACAAGATTCGATCGTATGTTATGTTAACTTATACATTGTATCGCGTTTCAGAGTTTACGAGAAGAAACGACAAATCTGAAGAAACCCTTGCAATGCGTGAAACAGCAGGCCAATGACTTGGCGAACAAAGCTGGAGAACAGGGTGTCGATGCGACGCACTTGCAGGATGAAGTGGACAATCTGACGGATCGAATAAACGATTTGCAAGCAAAATTGGACGATAGATGCAACGAATTGCAGAGTGCAGCCACAGCAGTAGCACAGTTCAACGACCATGCGAAATCTATCGGTCAACAAGTCTCCAGTCTCGAGAAAGAACTGGACTCCATGAAAGCACCTGGCAGAGAAATCAAGATCGTGCGATCTCAGATCGAGGAAACGAGCAAGGTTATCACCAAAGTGAACAGGCTGTACGAGGAGGTTACCGATCTAGAAAATCTTGGAGAACGTCTGGTCGATTACGGGTTCGCGGCTGACGCTGCAGCGACAAGGGAACAAGTAGCCGGCTTGAAACGACAAATCGGCAAGCTCGATGATCGTTCACGCGATCGCCACGACGAGCTAACCAGTACCCTGGACAAACTGCAGGAATTCTACCAAGCGCATGTGAACGTCATGACCGAAATCGACGAGGCGAACGATCACTTCAGAAGGTTCAAACCTGTCGGTTCCGAGGTGGAGTCTATAAAGGCGCAGCAGGAGGACTTCAGGCTTCTGAAGCTCAAGAAAATCGAACCCCTGGCCCGTGCTGTCGATGACTGCAACCTTTTTGGCCAGGCATTGATACAAACCGCGGGTCGCGACGTTAACACCGGCAACATTGAAAAAGACGTTGACAAAATGAACGAGAGATGGAACGATCTGAAGGATCGACTGAACGAACGGGACAGGAGGTTGGACGTGGGGCTCCTTCAATCAGGAAAATTCCAAGAAGCCCTGGACGGTCTGGAGAAATGGCTCACGGACACGGAGGAGATGGTGTCCAACCAGAAATCACCGTCTTCGGACTACAAGGTGGTCAAGGCGCAGTTACAGGAACAGAAGTTCCTGAAGAAGATGCTGATGGACCGACAGAACTCGATGTCGTCCTTGTACAACATGGGCCAGGAAGTAGCGGCAGGAGCTGACCCTAAGGAGAGGAAGATGATTGAGAAACAGTTGAAGGAACTCGTAGGTCGATTCGACAACCTGACAGAGAGTGCCGCCGAAAGGATGGACGCCCTGGAACAGGCCATGGGAGTGGCGAAACAGTTCCAGGATAAACTGATACCTTTGGCGATCTGGTTGGACAAGACCGAGAAACGTGTCAGAGATATGGAATTGGTACCCACAGACGAGGAGAAGATTCAACAACGTGTCGCTGAACACGACGCCCTTCACGAAGACATCCTGTCTAGGAAACCCGATTTCAGCGAGCTCACAGAGATCGCCAGTCAATTGATGGCCCTCGTCGGCGAGGACGAAGCCGCGACTTTAGCCGATAAACTGCAGGACGCCGCTGACAGATACGCCGCTCTAGTCGAGCGATCAGAGGCCCTCGGTACTCTGCTACAGAGATCGAGGCAGGGTTTGCGGCATTTGGTTCTCAGCTACCAGGAACTCCAGGCCTGGATGGAGGGCATGGAGATCAGGTTATCGAAATACCGGATCCTGGCTGTTCATACCGAGAAGCTTCTCCAGCAAATGGAAGATCTAGCCGATCTCACCGAAGAAGTCTCCACACGACAGACCGAAGTGGACAGCACCACCGACGCTGGCTTGGAGCTGATGAAACACATTTCCAGCGACGAGGCTCTTCAGCTGAAGGACAAGCTCGACTCCCTGCAACGACGATTCAACGATCTAGTTAGTCGCGGTTCCGACCTCTTGAAACACGCCCAAGAATCCCTGCCATTGGTCCAACAGTTCCATGACAATCATAACAGACTGATGGACTGGATGCAGGCCGCGGAATCCGCTCTGCAATCAGCGGAACCCCGCGAGGATGAAATCGTCAGACTAGAAATGGAGATATCAGAGTACAGACCGGTCTTGGACAAGATCAACGCGGTTGGACCACAGCTGTCTCAACTGTCCCCCGGCGAGGGAGCAGCCACCATAGAAGGTTTAGTCACCAGAGACAACAGGCGGTTCGACGCGATCGCGGAACAGATTCAGCGAAAGGCGGAGAGGATTCAGCTTAGCAAACAACGATCTTTAGAGGTCATTGGCGATATTGATGACCTCCTGGAATGGTTCCGTGAGGTCGACAACCAGTTACGCGAAGCCGAGCCGCCGAGCAGCGAACCGGAAATCATCAGGGTACAGCTGAAAGAACATAAAGCATTGAACGACGATATATCCAGTCAGAAGGGTCGCGTCAGGGACGTGATATCGACCGCGAAGAAGGTGATCCGCGAGAACGGCCAGCACGAGGACACCTCGACCATCCGTGAAAAGATGGAGGATCTCCGAGAGACCATGGAGATCGTCTCTGGTCTATCCGCGGACAGACTTGGCGCTTTGGAGCAAGCATTGCCGTTGGCCGAACACTTGCGCGACACTCACATAGGTTTGGTCAGCTGGCTCGAGGAGGCCGAACACCAGGTCGCCATGTTGCCCATGCCCGCGTTGAGACCCGATCTAATCGCCGCCCAACAGGACAAGAACGAGCTTCTCATGCAGAGTATCAACGAGCACAGGCCTCTTGTAGAAAAACTGAACAAGACTGGTGAGGCTCTGTTGAAGCTCTGCAACGAGGAAGAAGGTATCAAGATACAGGATATATTGGAGGCAGACACCGCCAGGTATGCCGCACTCAGAGCCGAGCTTCGAAGTCGACAACAGACTCTCGAACAGGCGCTCCAAGAATCATCTCAGTTCTCGGACAAACTGGAGGGTATGCTGCGCGCCCTGTCCTCCACGGCGGATCAGGTGAACGGCGCAGAACCAATCAGCGCTCATCCGCCTCGTTTGCGTGATCAGATGGAGGAGAACACGGCCCTGGTCGACGAGCTCGCTCATAGATCCGAGGCGTACGCGGCCGTTCGGAGAGCTGCCGACGATGTGATCAGTAAAGCCGGCAACAGGGCAGATCCAGCCGTGAAGGACATCAAACGGAAGCTGGAGAAGTTGAATAAATTATGGAGCGACGTGCAGAAGGCGACCAACGAGCGTGGTCACACCCTGGACGATGCTCTATCCATCGCCGAGAAATTCTGGTCCGAGCTGAACGGCGTGATGTCCACCTTGAGGGAACTACAGGATGCTCTGGCGGGCCAGGCACCCCCAGCTGCTCAACCAGCCGCGATACAACAGCAACAGGTCGCTCTGCAGGAGATCAGACACGAAATCGACCAGACGAAACCGGACGTTGAACAGGTCCGTGCCTCTGGTCACGAGTTGATGGGTCTGTGCGGTGAACCAGACAAACCGGAGGTCAGGAAACACATCGAGGACCTGGACCAGGCGTGGGACAATGTAACAGCTTTGTACGCCAGACGGGAGGAGAATCTGATCGATGCGATGGAGAAGGCGATGGAGTTCCACGAGACGTTGCAGAATCTTGTGGAGTTCTTGCAGGAGGCCGAGGACAAGTTCGCCCGTATGGGACCGTTGGGCAGCGACATCGACGAAGTTAAGAAACAGATCAAACAGTTGGCCAATTTCAAGGCCGAAGTTGATCCTCACATGGTCAAGGTCGAGGCTCTGAACAGGTAACCACGGTTCTCTTCGATCTCCGGTTCCGTTGCCGTTATTTTCTCGAATATACGACTCTCGTGTTAATTGTACGCAACCACCAATAGCGCAACCACCCACCCCGAAAAATTGTCCACATTTGTGTCTCTATATGTATACTTGTCCTCTACCATATGTGAGGTTTTTCGTTCGGTGCGATAACAAATAGCGAGAAAACACATATCTTCTACTCTTCTGAGCGAGCAATGAGATTCTAATCCGAACTTTTGTTTTTTCCGCGCCGATTGCTGAACGCATAGGAGTCTGACCAGGCAAGTCAACCCTCTCTCTGTGTTGTAGCTGTAGTTAGAGCATGGCTTACAATTTATTCTTGATACGATCAGATGGAGTACGTAATATACACCCTGCCCCCTGTGATCCTCAGTGTCGTCCGAGTATGGCCCCTTAATCTCGTTAATGCCCCGTAACAGTTGTAATACCTCAGTTGCGGTCGAATGAATCCCTTTAACTTTCTCCTGGTTGGAGTTGTTGTAAAACGCGTATTTATATACCTGTCGAACGTTCGTTGTACTTTGCCTGCCTTGTGTCTGTGCCTGGCTCGTGACATGTGCCTGTTCTACTTACATCAACCACACATCGTAGGTACATTTTAGTCACCAGGGCCTCGAGAATGGAATATGTCACGGCGGTTTTCCTATCATAATCAGATTGGAATTATGAGGGTGGAAAATGATGGTTGTTGGAGATCCAGGGGTAGAGGTGATATCCCACCAATGTAAAGATGAAGTTTTCAGCTAAAAAGGTTTGATACAGAAGTTATAGGGTTTAGAAAGAGGCGTCTGATGGTGACTTCAGACGTCATTTTGAGGTCTATTCGATTTTTTTTTAAACGGAAATCCCCGTGTTTACTACCAGAAACAGAAAGAACATAAAATGTTACGTTCAGATATGTGAACAAATAACCGTTCTGTCCACTTCTGGTGCTAAAAATAGGAATTCCTATTTTTGAGTTGACCTCTACATTGAATCCGTATATCGTGACCAAGGTCACCATCAGGCGCCTCTTTTTGAACCCTGAAACTTTTGTACCAAAAATTTAATGCTAAAACATTATCCCTTCGAATCAATCTGGGGTACTCATCTTGTTGGTACACCCTGTATATACAGGTTGAGCCACTTAACTATACCACCTAAACTTACTCATAACTACACGTTGCATAAAAAAAAAGTTTTAACCGAAAGGTGTTCGATATCGAACAGGGCATATAATGTAATAATTAGTTTTTCGATGTTCCGGTTTTTTGTCGAGATACAAAAGTTATCTTGTGTAATATTCGACCTTACGACTTGACAGAATACTAAATGTCGAGTAAAAAACTATTAAGGTATACGGGTTCAAAAACTAATAATTACCGAGATATTCTTTAATTATCTTTAACGCAAGTAATGCTCAAAATGCTGTCCAGTACATTCAATACAAGTGCACAGGCAATCAATGGGAGCGAGTGACACAAGTTCAAGTTATCGATATCGAATTCTTCTACTTGAAACATTTTTTTATACAAATAGTTTACGAGTAATTGTAACGGTTACAGTTAAATGACTCACCCTGTATAAACGGTAAACACTAAAAAGTGGGAAGGGCAGTCTCCTCAAGCAGCTAACATTTCCCTTCGATACATGGTTCTTAGTATATTTCCTCTCCCGTAGATATACGTCGACCCTTGTGTTGTTTCACACTGACTAAAAACATCGACATAAACGTACGAGCCTAACCAAGGTTGTCGTATGTACCTGTTATTTACAAACATTCCTCATGGTGTACGCTTTCCTTACATCGACGCGTACGGTTTTGGCCGGCAGGGAGCCCACATGGATTATCCTATAACGTTTTCTCGATCTTCCAGGCAAGCAGCTGAACTAACGGAAAGAACATCCTCGGAGCAAGCGGCAGCCATCAAAGAACCATTAGGCGCGGTGAACAAGAGGTGGGACGGTCTGTTGAGGGGCGTCGTCGAGAGACAGCGACTTCTGGAGAACGCTCTGCTACGTCTTGGACAATTCCAGCACGCCCTGGACGAGCTTCTCGTCTGGATCGAGAAGACGGACGACACCCTCGACAACCTGAAGGCGGTGGCTGGCGATCCACAGGTGATCGAGGTGGAACTGGCTAAGCTGAAGGTTCTGGTTAACGATATACAGGCTCATCAGACGAGCGTCGACACACTGAACGACGCTGGCAGACAGTTGATAGAGGACGGCAAGGGAACTGCTGAGGCGTCAACCACAGCCGAAAAATTGGGCACATTGAACCGTCGATGGCGCGATCTGCTTCAACGAGCCGCAGATCGACAACGTGAACTCGAGGACGCTCTCAGAGAGGCGCAATCCTTCACAGCAGAGATCCAGGATCTCCTGTCCTGGCTGGGCGACGTGGATAACACCATCGTGGCGTCGAAACCCGTCGGAGGACTGCCGGAAACCGCCTCGGAACAGCTCGAACGTTTCATGGAGGTGTACAACGAATTAGAACAGAACAGGCCTAAAGTGGAGACGGTTCTTCAGCAAGGACAGGAGTACCTGAAACGCGCGGACACGAGCAGCGCCGGTGGACTGAATCACAATCTGAGGACGTTGAAGCAACGATGGGACAACGTCACGGCCCGAGCTAGCGACAAGAAAATCAAGTTAGAAATAGCCCTGAAAGAGGCCACGGAGTTCCACGATGCCCTCCAGGCGTTCGTTGATTGGCTGACCAATGCGGAGAAGATTCTAACGAATCTGAAACCGGTGTCGAGGGTGATGGAGACTATACTTGGTCAGATAGAGGAACACAAGTCCTTCCAAAAGGATGTCAGTGTTCACCGCGAGACAATGTTGAACCTCGACAAGAAAGGGACGCATTTGAAGTACTTCTCCCAGAAACAGGACGTCATTCTGATAAAGAATCTGCTGATAAGCGTGCAGCAAGTTCCACGATGCCTGGTCCAACCTGATGAACTGGTTGGACGAGACGGAAAGGACTTTAGACGAGGTCGCTGTGGATGGTGGACTAGGTGGTAACGATCCTGAGAAGATAAAGGCTCGACTGAACAAACATCGGGAACTACAGAAGGCTTTGAGCGCTAAACAGGGCGCCTACGACGTCACCATGAAGAACGGCAAGTCGTTAAAGGACAAGGCTCCGAAAACCGACGAGTTCGCACTGAAGGAACTTCTGAACGAACTCAAGAACAAATGGACCACCGTTTGTGGGAAATGTGTGGACAGACAGAGAAAGCTCGAGGAAGCTTTGCTGTTCTCCGGACAATTCAAGGACGCTATTCAAGCGTTGTTGGAGTGGCTCAGCAAGTCGGAGAAACAGCTGGCAAACACTGGACCGTTGCACGGTGATCTGGACACCGTGGTGAACCTGGTGGAACAGCACAAGACCTTCGAGAAAGACCTGGAATCCCGTGCCTCGCAGATGGAGTCCGTGATCAGAACCGGCCGTGAGCTTCTCGGCAAAGCGACGCCCGACGACGCGTCCGCCATCGGTTCACAGCTGACCGAATTGAACGATTTATGGAACACGGTGTCGCGGTTGTGCACCAGGAAGACCGATCGCCTCGAGGACGCGCTCAGAGAAGCGGAACGACTGCACAAGGCGGTCCACGTGCTTCTCGAGTGGCTGAGTGACGCGGAAATGAAGCTCAGGTTCGCTGGACAGCTGCCCGAGGACGAACAGGAGAGCAGGAATCAGCTGATGGAACACGAGAAGTTCCTCAGAGAATTGCGCACCAAGGAGACCGAGAAGGATCAAACATTGGAGCTTGCACACTCGATTCTCGGGAAAGCTCATCCAGACGGGGTGCTGGTTATCAAACATTGGATCACGATCATTCAGTCGAGATGGGAGGAGGTGGCCACTTGGGCACAGCAGAGAAATCAGAGATTGGAGAACCATATGCGGGGACTTCAGGTATAAACTGACATTGATTACAACCATTCCAGAGTTAGACAAAATTTTTATTTATACAAAATTTCGAATAACGTTTCGAATAAGTATCTTTATTCATAGAATAATTCTCATCGAATTAATTTCTTTTTCTCGAATTAATTACTGTTTTTATTCGAATTTCAAATAACGAATAAAGTAACTTTTATACTCATCGTTATTTAAATAATGTCTCATATAAAAAATGCCCTACTTTGAAGTATTCGTTCCATAACAATGATGTTCAGTACAGAGACCGATTATTACTTACCTTCTAGGACCTCGATAACCTTCTGGAGGAGCTGCTCTCGTGGCTAGAGGGACTGGAGAACACGCTGAACGCCCTCGAAGCGGAACCATTACCAGATGACAAACCCACGTTGGAGATGTTGATCGCGGATCACCGAGAGTTCATGGAAAACACCAGTCGCAGACAGAACGACGTCGATCGTGTCTGCAAGGCCAGACAGATTAAACAAGTGAAAGACACGAAGAAGATAACGAAGGCTAAGTCACCCGCGCCGACGTACGTTCACATTCTCTATCGTTTCGATTCCCGGTCCCAATTTTCTTTTAGCAAAAAGATATCTCGCGAACCGGGGCCGCCAAGGATCGCGCTCGTCCCTCCAGAATCATCGTTTCCCCCGAGAGGTAGACGGAATCGCTAGCCAAGAACGCATATTGTACTTGCTTCTCGAATTTCCGGTTTACCTATTCGGGGCCGTATTCTCACATTTTTTTTCCCATCTCCCCCTCATTTGACTTTTTTGATGCTTTGCCGTTCTTGGAAGAACTTGATTTGCATGCGGCGTTTGATTTGTCTACGTTAGCTCCTTTTTTATTTTACTTTGCTGCGTGATAGAAGTTCTTTGATAAAGATCAATCATGAGGACAACTGGAACGGGAGACAAGAAAGGTGCGTGTTGTCGTACGAGACTGCTCTGGTCTCCTTCGCCTGTTCTGTCGATTTCGAACGCTTCGTTGAAGTCTGATTTTATGACGGAATATCGGTATTTTTGAAAACGATAAACGGAATGTGCATTCGTAGGCAGCATGGTAGAGTAAACTTTGGACACGAGGTTTAAAGGACACTTGGAGCGCGTCCGAGGCGTGTACTGTGCAGGATACTTCGCTGAGTCGTTACAAGGAGCTTTTATTAAATTAAGGGATACAGAAATAAATAAATAAATATTTTGCTACTAGGCGTTGATAGTCGCACAACTTGAAAAATGTAAATTTAAGAGTAGAGGCTTGTTAGAATTTACATTTGTACAGTTAAGGCCAGGTTGATAGTGCAAACTGATTGCATTATAAATATGCGGCTTTACGTACTGAAAATAGAAACATAATGTAGACCTTGTATTAGATAAAAGGAAATTTAAGCGATATAATCAGGCCATCTGCACATCTCGAGAGTAGTATTCACAGTGAAATGGGACCGTATGTGGCCAGACACTGCTGGCAGACTACAGAGGTTGTTTCTGGTCAGACAAATTGCAGTTTATCTCACAGGGAAATAGGATCGAGCTGTTTAGTTCAATCACCGTGAGGATCATATCGCCTCAAGAAGCGAACATAATTACAAGCTTCATGTAACGAATACAGTGACCACCCTGCACTAAGTAGGGAGAACAGGCCTGTCCACCAAAAAACCATATAATTTATGTCGAAAGAAGTGTAGTTTCGATTAAGTATCCAGCAGAGGCCTATTCTCCGCCCCCCTTTTTCCCCGTTTGCTCGTCTCGTAAGGACCTCCGAAGGATCGATCGCCGAATTGGGACACGGTGATCGGTGCAGTAAAAAAATAACCGCGAATTCCGTCGCGGTGTGTCTGGTAGAAGTGTCTCGAGTGATGTGACGCATGTTCCTGTTTAGCCGAGCCAGCCCGGGCCGTGAGAGAACGCCAGATTCATTGCCGCACATCGGCCCACGCTTCCCACCTAAAGGAAGGTTCGTCAAACCCAATCCTTCCAAATTCTCTGTTCGCCGCCCCAAAATGCTCTGCTTTTAACCCGTAACAATTTCCTCATTTTATTTTAGACTTTCTTTGCAGTTCGATCGGTTGTGTGTTTTGGTCAACATTAGAGTTATCTTTCTTCTTCGTCTCTGTCCTTTTCGATTCTCATTGTTTAGCATCGATTGAACATATATTATTCAGTGTTTCTTCTTTCGTTTCTGGTGTCGGTATTTAATCACAGAGAATTACATTGCCATGGATCGGTGATTCTTTCGAACACGTTCCACATTTTGCTTTCTTTGCTTCTCATGCTTCGTTTACCTGGTTTATTGAGTCTTTTGGGGGAAGGTGTTAATCTTTTGTTGTTTGGTGCCGTGTACACAGCAAAGGCGCTGAACCGGAGTTCCGTAGCCCGAGGGTGAAGCTTCTATGGGACAGATGGAGGCACGTATGGATGTTGGCCTGGGAACGACAACGTCGACTCCAGGACAAGTACAATTACATTCAGGAATTGGACCGTGTCGCGAACTTCAGCTGGGAGGATTGGCGCAAGAGGGTGAGCAGAATGAAAATTTCAATACATTAATGATTCTACTATTTATTTAACTTGTTTTTTATCTATAGTATCTACTTATTTTTTTACTGTTTATTTCAGTTCTTGAAATTCATGAACCACAAGAAGTCCAGACTGACGGACCTATTCAGAAAGATGGACAAGAACAACGACGGTCTGATTCCTCGCGAGGACTTCATTCAAGGAATCATGAACACCAGTCAGTATAGCTTCTTACTATCATTCGATACACACTTCTGAAGTGAACGAATTTTCATTAACTGTATTTTCTTTCCAAAGAATTCGAGACATCACGGCTAGAGATGGGAGCAGTCGCGGATCTGTTCGATCGCCACGGCGAGGGATTGATCGACTGGAAAGAGTTCATAGCCGCGCTGAGACCGGACTGGGAGGAACGCAGGACGTACAACGACACCGACAAGATCCACGACGAAGTGAAACGACTCGTGATGCTCTGCACTTGTCGTCAGAAGTTCCGAGTATTCCAAGTCGGTGAAGGAAAATACAGGGTACGGAAGAAATTTCCTTTAAGGTCCCTTAAAGGGGTATTCTAGTGCACACGGTCGTTTTCAACGTGATTAGAAAGTAATTTACAGAAAACTGTCGAACCTAGGAAGCTCTGATTTTGCGTATATCTTTATACGAAATTCAATGTTAAAACTATAAGAAAGAATGCAAGAAAAAAAATCGATTCTTGTTCACCGGCTACACTAGAAATACCCCCTTAATTTAACGATCTGCAAACCATTCTGACGCCATTGTTGTTATTTATAATCGTAGTTCGGCGACAGTCAGAAACTACGATTGGTTCGAATCCTACGATCCACCGTGATGGTACGAGTCGGCGGTGGATGGGTAGCCCTGGACGAATTTTTGTTAAAGAATGATCCTTGCCGCGGTGAGTATTTTTTCCATATGATCTCTCAGTCTCTTTCTCTTTGCTCTGTTACCGTCGAATACCACCGTCGGAATCGATGATTTTTAGACTAATAAGTTCGACTTCGAATGCCACGGGAGTAAAAATACTCGAGAACGAATCCCTCCCATTCGGACACTCGCGGCTCTCTTGAACATTTTTTCGACCGTTCCGTCTCGTCTTCCTGGCCCAGAACGCGACACAGATCGAACGGTTCTGCGAATTTCGAAACGAATATTTCAACCCTCTCTCCACTCTCCCTTCTCCCTATCCAAAGAGGCAGCTAAACCGAGTTTTATGTTGTTTTACGTCGACTAGACACGCGTGTGGGATTTGAATCGATTGGTTTTTGCGTTTGAACATACACAACACAACTAACGGTCGCCAGCGCGCTTTCTTTTACACCTTCGTGTTCCGTTTTTCTGGTCTTGTGTTCTTCACAGGGCTTGAAACGGTTCCGAAAATAAATGTTCCAAACTGTTATATAAAGGTGTTATACATAGTAATCTATAGCTGTAACTGTAATACGTTGTGATTTCATTTACTGTAAAGTTCTGTACAATTGCTACGGAAATCAGTTCCGTAACCGTTTTGGAATTCATATAGAACCTAAAAAATAACGGTTACAGAACTGATATAGGAACCATAACTAAAACTCATATAGTTTGAACTGTAGATGCTTCATAAAAGTTATTCGGATAAAGGTTCTTTGTAACTGTTTCAAGATCCCAAATCGATATCATAACTGTTTTCAAGCCCTGGTTCTCCATTGACCTGTCCAACCGGTGTGTGCGCATCGAACTCGACTAATCGCTTTCCCGCTGCCTCGGGAGGACATTACTCGCATTCATTATTCGCGTGTAACTCTCGCGTTCATTTAACAACTCATTCATTTCGCCTCATTTATTCGTGTCCCGCGAGCATTCATGTTTCATTATGGCGTCGCAGAATATTTTCCGTATTTGGGCGCCTTCTATTATATCCACGTGTACGTGTACGATCTCAGCTCCTGAGGTACGATTTTGTGCGAGCGTGACTAATCCAATCATTAACCGAGCGCTCTGCCCGACATCAGCGCTCTTTTTAACTCATCGTGTGTGCATAATCAGACGAGGAGGAGTAGTGTATGTCGTTGATCACACCTGGTGGTCCACGCCTCGCGTTGTACATCTCACCTGTAACCGCTAGGGTCTCTCGTTTGTGGCTTTCTTGTACTAATACCAAGCGAACCGCTGCATTCCAGGTGCAACATAATGCAATCTATGTAGTATTATACTTGGAGATAATTGTTACCATCTCTGTTGGAAGGTTTAGAAATTTTTTTAGAAATTTTTAATCAATTTAATGGAATGCAATCGTTCGCTCGACCACCATAGCCAATAGAGTATTTTGGGTACATTAGGAAACTCGTATCGCTTGATCATTAGATAACTAACGGTAATTGGATCATCCCACTGCCGATCCCTGATCCCTCTCGTTAACACAATCGTCATCCATATCTACTAGTTCCATTCGAAACATTTCGTTTTACTCTACGCACAACTTTGTTAACGTATATTACATTACCTAATCCGATATATCATCTCACCGTCTATTACTTGAATACGCATCGAAGTTCATGGAATATAATTGCATGCCTTCTATTTCAATTTATAACTTTACTAAACCTGAAAAAAAAAAAGAGTAAAATGGACCATCACTAAACTCCTCATATCGTGATTAACTCGTCAAGTTTTTCTAATGCCGATACCGGACCCAAACAAACCGGAACAACATGAGGGTTGGTGTCCGCTCGGTGAGAATCTTATTTATATGGGAATAAATTGCCATTCGTGGCCCGTACGTCTGAACGAAATTAAAAACATTGTTACCCTGTGGGTGATTTATTACCCTTCGATATACCTGTGGAAAAAAAAAGGTTGTGGAAGTAATTAACAAGGACCGTACTGGCTACGAAATCGACGTTTTGGTATATATATCCTGCATGATACGTAATCTGTTCGTGTGCCATAAGTTTGCTTCCTCGCAACGAGTTCAGTTTTTTGGTGCGCGTTAAATAGCATGCAAGACGATGTTCTAATTTCGCGTGTGCTCACTAACAACGTGTCAGACCGTGTGTTCGCTTAGCTCGATTCTCGCGTCATTATTACCTTCTAATTCATCTTCCCCTTTTCATTATTTCGCGAAACGACGACATTCATTTCGTAGACGTCGTCCTTACTGATTTAAGGTACCTTTTATCAACACCGCGTCCCTCGCGTTTTATTCATTTTTGTTTTAACGCTGTCATTGGAAGTCGACTTCAGATTCTCAGTTGCGGAGTTCGGTATTCGGAAAATTTCGTATTGGATTTCTGTGCTTTCAAATTTCTGTACTTTGAAAGTTCTATAATTAGGGAATTCTGTAACTTTGGGAGTCCTGTATTCGAAGAGTTCAGTAGTTTAGGGATTTTATACTTTAAAAATTGTAAATACTTCAGGAATTTTATATTTCTGGAATTTTATAATTCGGAAATTTTATACTTCGAGAATTGTATATTTGAGGAATTATATATGCGAGGAATTCAATACATGGGGAATTTTATACACGATTATTCGACGTATCGAAGACCATCTAAACGATTTCCAACGTCAGCGCAACTATTCGCATGCGATCCCCGACCGTTTCCCATCGTCAAGCGTAATTAACGGGAAAAATCAGCGCCGATAAATCGCAACTTCACGCGTTACATTCGTAACCTCTGTCTCTTCTACATTCACAAAATAAAAGCAAATCAAAGCGGTTCTCTTCGACACTCTTAATTGATCACGACGTACATACATTTAATTTTATCATTATTATTCTCGCACATCCTTCCATTATTTGTATGCCCTTCGACTCTCACCGGACAAAACGTTCTCTAATACACTATTTTGTTTTCTCTTTGTTTTTTCCCCCACCCACCACTGCCGTACACTCGCACACGAACACATATACACCGTGTACGCCGCTGGCATACGCTCTAAACAACTATCGCTGTGTACTATCGCTGCTACTTTATTTACTACTACGCTATTATTACCTCTACAACTCTTGTTCTGGCTCCTACTTTCTCTCTATCTCTCTGCGCATCCGTGTCGAAACCGAATCGACGCTTACCGTTCGATTCTTCGCTCTGTTAATAAACCGCGCATGAATACCCACCGACGAAATTCTAAACCCCAATAACGCTTCATTCTTACTATCTACCCTTCGATCGCTCTGATTTGTACTTGTACCATATATTTTTCTGCTGAACTAACAAAAAACAACAACGATCTCTACCTGTCGCGGCTGCCCGTTAATTATCCGCTCTCTCTCTATTTATCGTATATATCTTTATTTTCCTCTCTATCTCCGTGCCCTCTATCTATCTGTTCTATCTGTATAAAAATACATTTCTCTATCTCTGTCTTTCTCTCTGTTGTTTCGCCCCCCACCCCTCCCTTTAAAATTTCGGCATACATATGTCCTGTAACGGCTTCCTTCTTAACTTGCGTGCACGCAACACACCACTGTAGCCAAGGGAAGAACGAATATCGAGCTGCGAGAGCAATTCATACTGGCGGACGGTGTCAGCCAGACAATGACGGCGTTCAAGTCGAAGCCGAGCCCGACGTCGACGCTCCAACGCGCGCAAATGTCATCCGCGAACACCGGACCTATCACCAAGGTAACGTCACCCAGATCACTCGTCCCTTCCTGATTGATCATGATCAAGGTAGTGATGATAGACAGCCCTTGATCACGATCCATCCAGGGGACAGAGCACACACGTTTATCTCTTTCTCTCTCTTGATCACTACTTTTCGTCGCGGTTCGATTTTGGTCACCTCCGATTCAAACGGAGGGATCGAACACGATGCAAACTGGATCGCCGCCGAATCGTTCGTTGATTACTTTTTATTAGCCGCCCTCGAAACTCGATCGATGCACCGATGGGAACCGTTGTTCTTTGATTAAATGGTACTTGGAAGCAGCCCTTTTTTGAACTTTTGCTAAGAAATTGCTTTCTTTTGTGTACTTAACGACGATGAAGTGTTACACTGTTCGACAAATTTTAACTGTTTTCTGTTTCTGATTGATCTTTATATCTATAATATAACAATTTATATAATTCTGTTTGCCCAAAGAATTATTTCGTGTACAACCGAACAACTATTCCAGTAAAAGCACAACACACCTTCAAAGTTAAAAATGTGAAATTCTCTTTAATTAAATTTATTTTTCCAAAGACTGAATGTGCTGGGATAAAACGGTTTGCAGATTCGTATTCAGTTCGTAAAGATCTTTCAGAAACGCGAATTAACAGTTATGAGCTATTTTCCCTTTTGAACAGTGTTATGAATAAGTTAATAAATTCAAGATTAAATGATTCTAGTTTCACAATAGCATGTTCACAGTTTGCCACTGATATTAATCCCTCACCAAGAAAGCAATTTTCTGATCATCAGTTCTAAAAGGGCGACTCACAAGCCCTACGAACAGAGCAACGTCTCTGATATCTATCAAAAGACAATAGTTTAATCTCGATCTTCAACATAGCACGTACCGTAGACCCCTACGGTTCTTCTCTCTCTTTCTATCTCTGGTCTCGCCCAATCGAAGTCCCCCCCCACGATACGGTAAGTACATATGTATATACATGTACAGTCGGCCAAAGAGTTCACAAAATATTTTCTGTAAACCCCCGCATGCGAGCATGTCAGCTTAGAGACGGTTGAAGCAAGTCGTCGCACCTAGAGCTCTCAACCCCTCACGCACCTCTCGTGGTAGTCGCTTCAGTCACCCTGCTACCACCCCCTCGATTATTTCGGCGCCCGTATCCACCACCTCCCTTTTCAGTTTGTCAGCCTAGCCCTATCACACACCCCTTCAGTCCCCAGAAAAAAAAAAAAAAAAATAGCCACGCTGATAAATGCGTCATCGAATAGTGTCAAGGTCGTGCCCGTGAGTCGAACCCTTGGCGTCTTGCCTCGGGGGCTGATAGTCACCTCAGGAGATGCGATTTCACGAGACTATGATCTATGTTTAATCTTTGTCTATTCCTCTTTCTCTATCTATCTCTGTTTCTGTGTACTTCGTGGATATCGTCGGTCCTCGAGACATCGACGAGATCTTGAGGAACTGGATCTCTCGCGTCTTAATTGCTCTGTGTCCACGACGTGGCGAACGAGGAGGCTTCGAGCAACATTTACCCCTTTTAAATGATGGGATATAGACAGATAAATATGGATCTTGTGCAATGAAGTTAGGTGTTTGATTTTACAATTTTGTTTCATTTTACAATGAAGTTAGTTCGTTGCTCGAAGCCTCTATAGCACCGTCGCGTCCACGACCAGAAAACTGTCGGGTTGTGAAGAATCGGTGGTGTGTGCAATTTTTCCTCTAAACTAAGTTCGTTTGTGGTGTAGCGGAGGAGTTTATGAGCCAGCTGACGCCGATATTTGAGAGTTTGAGGCAAAAGGAGGACCTCCCGTGCTCGTATCCCCTCCACATGCACGCCCCCTCTTATCATTGGGTAAATAAGAATACTCTATTCTCTGAATTCTGCTGTCGTTGATTGTGACACATGGGCGTGTAACCCGAGCAAATAATATCTTTGTGTGTTTTTTTTTTGGTTTTCTTATTTCCGTTGTGTTTCTCACCGTTTTGCGTTCTTTTTTAATTGTTTCACCCTTTAATCTTCGTCCTCTATATCAGTTCTCTCTGTTCCTCGTGTGTGTTTTTTCTTCTCTTTTTTTTTTTTTTTTTGGTTTTTCTGTTTCTCGAGTGCGCTTACACCACGTTCCGCGGCATCGTACGACCGAACCGATGGAACTCGGCGAATGACTGGTCACATGATGATTTTCAAAGATCGATCATGATCCTGTAACGATCTCACGGTACCCCACGAATCGACTGTTTCGATATTTATTTCGCGCTGATGCTGCTGCTGCTGCTGTCGCCGTCGTTTTGCCCTTGTTCGCGGCCATTTGGTTTTACCGCGAAACGAGAAATACCCTGATTGCAGTCGCATCGCTTGGTGCTGATGAGACTCACTCGATCATATGCATGCGGTAGAACCTGGTAGACTTAGATCGAGACCGACTGGTGTGGTCCCCACTGTACATCCACGAGCAAACTCGATTTTCACTAGGAGAAAAAGCGGCGTAGAAGAAAAGTCTTCTACCACTTGGTAAATTTATTCCAGGTACTGAAATAAATATTAAATCGAATGTTAATTTGGCATAAATTTCAGTAATTCCAAGCACCAACAGGTAGGCGCTTGGTAGGAGGCCCTTCCCCTACGTCATTTTTCCTCTAGCGGAAACCGAGTTTGCTCGTGGGTAGTACATACAATTCGTTTCAGGCGCATCAATTCGCAGTTTCATTCCCATTAAGCACACTTTCGCACAAAAGTGAACGTCCACCGTGCGAAAGACGCGTTCATTCAGAAACGATTTCATACCATTTTCAACTCGGGCCATTTGTCGACTCTAATGACGACACGATTTATCACCTGAGAAGCGTTATATTGTCGAATTGCTGGTTTCTTGGTGAGCCAATTTCTCGCTTGTGAAACGCGACGACACGGGACACGTTTCAAGCACTTAACCGCTTCAGCGACGAATTTGTTAAGACCAGTCTCTCTGTCTTTTTTAAGAAGCACCGCGGACTCGAGTGTGTTTTCCACCGGACGTTGCACACGTGAGAACATGGCTTTAGGAATGACGCGCACCGGTGTTTTATACGGTGTATTGTATCCTAAAAGTTTAAATCGTGGGGGAAGAAGCGGTTATAGATGCATCCGTACGGATTAGTGGACTGCGGATTATATGCATTCGTGGCGAATCAGTTCTCAATATTACGTCTTTATTGTATACGAGTAAAATTAAACATAAATTAATAACATATAGTAGACGTATAAATTAATAACATATAGAAGACACAGACAATTTTATTGCATGAATATTTCCGTCGCTCACTATAAAATGCAAGTGAAAGAAAAATCGTAAACGGTAAACCAATGTATACTTAATTTTATTTTGTAGCTTATAAACTATCGAATCAACTTTCATCTGATTCTGGATTTTGTAATATAACGTTACGAAAACACGGGGATATAGCATAAAAATCCGCAGTCTGAGGATAAACATCGCATGCGTCGCGTCTCCTGTTCGTCGTGTATATACCGATTTTCGTTCAGTTCCGTAGTAGTTCCCGGGTTATTTTTTCGTTTACACTGATTGGATGCCTCTGAACGATCTCCCCCTTCCCGTAGAACGAACCGGGATTCTCGTAGCTCGTCCAATCGAACGATCGGTATCACCCTCGAGGCTCTTCCAATCGAACGATCGGTACCACCCTCGAGGATCTTCCAGTCGAACGATCGATACCCTCGAGGCTCTCGTAGAAATCGTGGATCGAATGTTCTCGAAAGATCGTGGATCGAAGGCTCTCGTAGAGATCATGAATCGAAGGCTCAGTCGCATCCCTCTGGGATTGTCGAGGGTGGTCGAGACGTTTATCCCACCGACGCGTTCCCAATCAAAATATACAGGGTGAGTCAATAAAAACTACTATTTAAAATAGCTCGTTAACTGTTGATTGTATCAGAAAACATTTAAACTAATTCTGTAGCATTTTAAGGGATGCATCGGACGGATTCCATTTGATTTCATTATATCTTATTTTTTTGGGATATCAATGTGGTTTTATCAATCTTTTTTGCTTTTTTTTTTAATACCACGTTGTTCTCGATAGACGGACGAATTAAACAAAATGATGGTATTAAAAAGAAATGCATTGACTTTGAAAAATCTGAAGGTCACCTTGACATGTTGAAATTGAAACTTCGTTAAAACGTTTTTTGATACCACTCAATGTAATGAGTTATTTTAGATAGTAGTTCTTATTGACGTACCCTGTATATACGATTCAATCGCGGGACCGATCGCAACAATCGCGTGCCGCGGATACGGTGTGTGCTACTGGTATCGATATTATGCATAACGATCTCCTGTATTGCTGTGTATTGGTGCGTGCATAGTGGCGTTGATCGGAGATACCTCGAATCACCATAAGCTACTCTATCTCTCCCAACTTCCTCTGGTAAGTTTGCATGAGATCTTTGTTCTTTTCTTTCATATTTGTTCTTCTTTCATTTCTTTTTTTTTTTTTCTTTACGTTTTTCAGTCGTAAACAACGCTCTCTTCGACCACGATGGTGTTTTTCATTTCTGTTTGTTCGTTCTCTTTCTTATTTGATATGTACTTTCCACGATCGATCGATCGCGGTTTTCTAGTTCGCATCGGTGGCGTTGAAAGGTTGTAAACGAACGACCAAGCAGCACCGCGAGACCACGAACAATCGTCGACGAAATCGCGAGGCAGACAAAACTTACCTTGAAAAAAAGGAAAAAAAAAAAAAAAAGAAACAGAAGTTTCTTCGAATTTGTTATTATAATCGATAACGCGTTGTTTCTGCTTCGCGATTCCCGACGCGTATCAGTTCGCAACCTGAACCGCATCGACGCGCACCATTAGCGCGTCGACCGTTACCAGAAACGGACTCTCGCTGTTTGTCTGTCTGTTTGTTTGCACTATACTCACCAGTCTCCGCTCTGGTAGGACACGCATATACTCTTTTTTTTTCCCTTGTTTCGACGACCAGTCGTTACATTTAACCAGAACCAAGATTTTCTGTCCGCGTGTAGGTGAGGGAACGCAGCGCACGAAGCGTTCCCATGGGACAGACACGAGCCTCGCGCTCTTCGTTGAGTGCTGGGACACCGGACAGCCTCAGCGACAACGAGAGCTCGTTCAGAATTGGCTCCGCCAGGAAGACAAGCACACCTTACAGAAGTACCATTACGCCGGGTAAGTGTTCTCCACTTTCATTCAACACCCTGTACAATCCACCTGAACCGACCCTCGAAAGAGTTGAACCACCTGATCCCCAAGTTGTGTAAGTTCGATGTAACAGAAAATGGATTTACACTAAGTAGAGACCATTTGAAAGATTAACGCATTCAAACTAGTATCTCACCTGAATTGGTCCAGAACCTACTTTGGTCCTAGTTTGAAACTACTATAGTGCTACTATGATCCTAGTGTGGCACTATGGTGATACTATGATCCTAGTTTGGTTCTAGTTTGATCTTGTATGATCTTGCAAACGGATGGACTTGGTTCTTCGCGGTTTAACGGAACTCTTCCCAAAAAATATCGGTGGTAGACATAATTAACCTTTTGCACTCGATTGGACCCCTCCGAAAGGGGCACAGTATATCGGAAAGTAAGAAAGTCTTTGGTGTAAAGGATTAATGGTTGAACCGACAAATGGTCCAGTTGCCCCAACAGAATAGTAATGTGGATCTTGTTACAGGCGGTAGTCGTCCATCGAGCAGACCAGCGTCAAGACCAGCGTCCAGACCGACCAGTAGACCCGGAAGCAGGCCCGCCTCCCGACAGGGTAGCAAACCACCGAGTCGCTACGGTTCCACGCAGTCTCTCGACAGCACAGGTAAGGGGACCAACATTGTTTATTTTTAGTCACATATATGACCAAGAATGTTGTGATAGTTACAAAAATTATTTTTATTTTTTAGTCCATATTTTTGTATACATTATTTAATTTTCTATCGACAATTTTTTATATATACATTTAACAGCGCGTATTTAAAAAGTTTTTTAATATATATTTTCTAAACAATACTTTGGAACCTTTTCTCTGATCACGTATTCTATTATTCGTAGATGATTCGACCAACCTGAGCCGCATACCGCGCAGAACTACGGTCAGCACAACTGGAAATACACCGACCTCCAGCAGACACAACAGTGTGTCTGGTAAACGACTGGGAACGCCTGTGAACGGTTCCAGTTCACGTCCACGAACGCCCACCGGTCTAGTTAGTCCAGCCAGTGGCGTTCCAGCGAGGTTCGTACACGTCTAACATTAAATATCGTGATCCTCCTCGTGTGTTGAACGGAGAAGTAAACGATACCAAATTGAAAGATATGTATATGTATACTCAAGGACTAACTTGCATCTTGAACATAGATATTGATGATGAATTTTTGTCGCATCGTACTACGTGGGTAGAGTATTATTTAACTAAAAAGATCGTGACGTATTCGCATCTCGTCGGAGGAATGTTATATATAGTATCTTAATCAGACGGATCGATGATCGTGCACGATGATTTACATTCTTTTTTTTTTTTTTTTTTTTTAATTTTCCTAGGCATTCTGTTATACCTTTACCTACCTTATTTGTTTTTATTTTTTTTCCGTTCACTCTTGTTACCCTTTTGTTTAACAGAGTCAAGAATAGTTTAGGGGAGCATTCGTGATTTAGAAACATCCGTCGCCCGTTTTCCACACGCATTATTAACGCACAAACTAGGTTCTCACACGTTGTCGTGGTGTAATAACGACGATTAACATAAATCTGGTTAATAACATTTTTTTAGGTTTGGCACAATCCATAGAGCTTCGAGCATTCCAACCCTGACTGGTGTCGGCACACCGATCAGGTAAACCTAAATTAACGATTATCGCGAGCCCGTCGTCGGCAGAATCGACGATATCGGTTTTACCCGCTTTAATCTCTTTTGGTACACGATCATGCGGGCTGAATCGAAACGATCATATAACCATTGTTGCCTCGAAAGCTGATCATTACAATTTACCTCTATGTAGTTGGGCTCAGTGTACAACGCTCGATAATGGTGGAGGTGCTACCTAGTTACATCTTCTTCCTATATTTCCCCTCCCTCATTTTCATTCGTTCATTTTGGTCCATTGCTTTGGTTCGTTTAGTTATGTCCGAATTTTTTTTCTTCTTTTTTCGTTCACGGTTCACGGTACGTAAACGGGTTCGATTTATAGACGAGACGCGTATGCGCGCAAACGGGGTTGCGTGTAAATCCGTTCCGCGGTTCATTGTTATATTGACGATATGGATATGGTGATGGTTTAGCCGCTCGAGGATCCCCGTGTACGTGGGCACGGATATTAAATCCCCGCAATCGACGACCAGCAATATTTCCACCCATTCCATGCAAAGCAACGACTCGACGGTTTCTACCGATTCCACCGGGTATGGCCGAACTGTTTCCTCTGCTCTTAACACAGGCTAGCTTCTACTTTTCTTTTTCTCTGCACCGTGTGTGGGACACGCATGTTACACGTTCACCGTCCCTCTTCTGTCTGTTCTATTTTATGCACTTCTCTCGCAGACAGTAAACATGTAGAACCTTTCTTTCGTTTAGTCTTTTGTGGTGGGCCGACGCTTCGATGAATAAGTAATTAACTATCATCCGTGATCCTCGATAAACGAAATAAACCATCGAGTATCATTCGGGTAATTTCGTCGAAGCGTCCAAATGTGCACACAAGATTATCCCCTTCAGCTTTGTCATTTAAAACTGCTACTAATTCCTCACCGCTTGGGACGCGTCGAATAATCCAATTTACATCGTGTCTGTTTTCTAACACCAGGAGCAGTTCGATGTGTACAAATTCAGCGACTAACACCTCGTCGGCGGTAAAGCCTGATAGGTAATCATCGTTTCGGTCTTGATTGGGTTTACTGTGTGTGCGTTTTTTTCTGTGGGTTTTGTTGTGTGTAGCTTGTGCCGTGTATGGATGGTCACGCGAACACCGTATACGCGAAAAACGCGCCCAAACTACTGGCGCGTCTCCGCGTGATCGATCGAGATTCGTCACAAGACCGATCACGATTTTAACCCTTTCATTCTCAAATTATTTAAAAATGACCAAAGAAATATTTTATCTACATATTACATAACAAATAATTGTTTCACAAGTATATTTTAACATTTTGAAATCTAATGCTGTTTTGCATTCGGCAACTTTCTCGCTGTTACCACAGTTATATATAACAATTCCCAGTATAATTTTATTATATATAATAAAATCCAATTTGCCTTACCTTTGATCAATAAACAACCGAATGAAAAAGTAAAGAATAACCGAATTCTGAGAAACTATTATATACTCACATACATGAAAAAATACATGGCACTAATATTTTGGTTTCGTAATTTAAATTACGAAGCGATACGACAACAAAGTAGGAATGAAAGGGTTAACGACCGTGTGACGGATCATATCGCGGTGGTTGGGGATCGACAACGTTTTTAACGATAATTCCAACGCGTTCGCAGAACGAGGACACCGTCCAGTGGATCGAGCACGCCGTTGCCGCCATCATTAAAGCTCTCGAGAAAACCGTCGGGCGCCTCGGACACATCCGTCTCGACGACACCGACCACCCAACGGAAGGGAAAGCCAACGCCGATCGACCAACGTGCACCATTCCGATTATAGTCGCGCCCTCCCCCGGGCATCATCGTATTATAGTCACGCGAAAACGAAATTATGGCCAAACGTGTCGGCGAGGACACGGGATCGCGACCCACGCGGGGGATCCTCCTTGTCGACGCAACGCTTAGGATAGTCTAATATATATATATATATATGTGTATGTTAATAACGATTCGAAATCGCGAGGACGCCTTGATGAAACAACACCCAGATCAATTTAATATTCGCTGCTGCCGCTTGGATCGCGTTCGATCGATATCCCCGTACAGCGCGAAGCCCTTCACCGCACGCGCAGCAGGGCGTCCGTTAATGGAGTGTGTGAAAGAGCTTAACATTATTATCGAACTATTTTGTAAAGAAAGAAAAAACAAACAAACAACCATGCATAGAATCAAGTGATGCGAATTATGTACGCGACGCGCGATCCAACAGAGAAATTATCCAGGGGGACCCGCGGCGTGTTTGTTCTGTTACGTAAAAGCTGCGACGCTACGTATTATCAGAATCAGAGTCGCCTGAACAGCTTCCTGGGTAATCCGTGAGGCGGTATATCGATTAACTCTGTTTCTTTTCGTAAAATAAGGTTTCTTTACCCCGACACAGAGAGTACCGATAAAACGGTGTTTATTATTAAATGTATAATTGTAACACGTTGCGTTATCCATAGGACTTATATAGGTGTTTACCAGCCGTGACAGGAGAGACACGGGGGGAGGGGGTGTATGTGGGAGAACGTGTTCGATAGAGGGGGTGAAAGAATCCCTAGTCGCCGGTGTATATGCGTAGTTTCCCGAGTCACGATTCGACGATACGCGGGGCCCGTGTATACGATACCGTTGTCGCTGACGTTGACGACCGATCGATCGTTTTTCTTTTTCTTTCGTTGTTCCGTCGTGCACGATTGCTGTTTCATTCGAACGTCCGTCGAACTTCGGGAGACGCGTGGGGCCCTACGAAGGGAGCAAGGATATATGATCAAAAAAGAAAGAAAATGGAAACGTGGACGCGTGTGTGTCCACGGTGTAAATAATTGCTCGTATCTCTCCGGCTCGGTGTCGCAAACCGGGAACCACTCCGCGAATAAGACAGTTTCCTAGAGATTGACACCAGTTAAACGCTATCACACGCAACGGATTGCCTTAAAAGTCTATCGCCCGTGCCGCTTCTTGCGCGAATCGTACCTGCCTGCCGAGGCGAACCGATCACCGGAAGTACAACCGGAATAGGGCCCCAACGGAGGGGTTGGAGAACGGATGGATGGATGGAGGGGGGTGTGCCCGGCCAAAGTATAACCTCGTCGTAACCGAGGACACGCGTTCGTCAGCCAAAGCAGCCTCCCCCCGCCATCAAGCGTCGTGAACACATCTCGATTTCTTGCTGCGGACAAAAACTAAAGGTGGCATTTCTTTCGTCCCGTCATATTTTTCTCTCTCTTCTGTTTCTGTTTTTTGTTGCCTCATTTTTTACGTTCTAGAATTTTGCGATTAACGCACGGATACTCGTACCCGATGATGCGATTTAATCTATTAATCTATTCTTAAATGTTAATCTCTGTTTTTTTTTTCGCTTTACTTGAAGGTTCTGTATCGTCGCTAACTAATTGCAGTGGAAAGAAAAAATATACGCAAACGCACACGCATTTGACACCAAAAAAAAAAAAAACAAACAAGCAAATAAGACGGTTATCTCGATCTTTTATCCCCTGTAACAAGTGCGATCCCTATCTCTTTGCCCTACTGTTTGGGGTGAGTGACGACAGGAATTCGGGGGAAGATAGAAACTCTGAGGAGGAAATCATGTAAAAAGTATCGTATATTTTTAATAATCGAAATCTTTTTCATCGCAAAAACATCATATATACAAATTGTGCGTGCAAACTTAACGAGCTTATTTACAGTTTAACAGATTCACGGTACGAACGTGTCTACGCGATAGAAATATGGTGTATTCGATCTCGAAATTAGTGCCGCAGAAAGAGAGAGGGACGGACCGAACGGAACGGTCCGATCCACAAGAGCCTGTCATTTTCGAGACAGTCAGACTATGTTATCCTCGTTGCTCGAAGGTCGGACGCATGCCTCTTCAGGGGAAGCGTGTGCATTGAACATTGCACCGAAGACATAAGAACAATTCATGCCAACGGAGCAGCGACCATAAATCACTATCTACTTTCGCGAGAGCTTTTGAAGCCGTGCCTTCAACCCCGTGGCGCTTTTTTTGGTCTTCTCGACTTTATTCTTGTTCTCGTACTTCTTCCGTATCTCCTCCATACGCTCCTTTCTTATTCGTTGTTGTTCCTTTTTCCAAATGTCCTGCACGATCGAACAGAAAAATGGTACTGAACAACGAGACGTAATTTCGAAGTACCGTTTACGGACTCTGATGCTGATCACTTAAGTAACATGTCGCCTGAAGTGTTGGATTTTCGGAAACATTTTATGCGATAAAATGAAAATTGATAATTTTTAATTTGTGACACTTTTCATGCGGACGTGCGATATCTTACTCAAAATAGTTAATAATTATTTCGTAGTTCTTTGGAATAAAATTTTATCATAATGAACTTATTATATGGTGTTTGTACACTATACTGATGAGGTACTGGGTCCGTGACGGTACATACAAGCTTGATCGAGTTACCTTGAGGTCCTGACAGAAACCTAGCCACAGAACAAAGAACGCGTTCGGATCAGCCGTGTCCAGACTGGCTCCTTTCGGGGTGTACTGATAGAACTGCATCACAGCTTTGAATTTGCTCCTGGCCTCCTGCATCGCCTCCTGCTCGTTCGCCAGTTCCGCGGTCGCCTCGCGAAAAAACGAGTTCATTTTCGACTTGAACGGTCCCGACGCTTCGGGGTCAGCTTCCACGACAACGGTGCACTTCTCAGTGCAGGCTGAACAGTGAAATTGCAATGGGATTAGAACATATACGGAACTATGCAGGATGAACTTGATTAAAAGAGTTAACAAAAAAAATTTGGTTACAATCAATTCAAAGCTCTCCTTGGATCATATTATATTAGCCAAACAAATGTTCGATCGAACAGCTAGCAGGAGAATAATCTAAGCTGATCACGTTTCATGATCCACCCTTTATAAATGGTCTCTCTCACCTTGCAGTTCTTTTCGTAACCTTTCAAGCTCTCCCGAAATATTATCGAAGTTTATGGTCGAGGCAGCCTCGACGTCCGCCGGTTCGGGAACTGGCAACGGCAAAGGTTCCTCGAAGTTGTGATCCTTCTCTTGAGCCAGTCTGGCCCTCACCACGTAATGCAGCAAGGTTATACCAGGGACATTCGACTTGACGTCCTTCAATTTCCCGAGGATTTCAAGCCCAAAACCGTCCGCCTGTCCTCGTGTCCTGTTCCCACCGTTCATGTAATTACCAAGCGTCAGGACCAACGCTATGACCTTCTTCAGGGAGCTAGAGTTCCGAAGAAAGTCGCAAGTGGTGCGCAGATTGGTCAGCTTGGACGAGACCAAGGAGATCGCGTCGTGAAACTCCGATTGGAACATCAGACAGGCTATCCTCTCCGAGAAATGATTTATACAGGATAACTTTTTGAGAAAAACCTCTGGTTGATCCAACGGGACCTCGGGATTCACTTCCTCGAAGGACTTTATATCCTCCAGCTCCGTCGCGGTTGGTCTCTGTAAAAGACACTTTCATCTTTTAGATACTGTTCTTCCCGAAGGATTCTGGAATAGATTCGAACCTTACGATTTCGTATATTTGTTGTAACGCCTCCAAACTAATCACGCTGGTGTCCAAATTGTACACAGCGTTCTCCACCTCGCAGAAGTCTACGCGCAGGCTCTTCTCGAGGATACCGACGGTCTTCGAGCGCTTCGAGTCGAGGATCTTCGCTGTCTGAACTTTAGACGGCTTCGTGGAATCGTCCGCCTTTTTCACTGGTTTTCGCTCGGTCACCTGGCGCGAGAACAGACCGGCGAACTCTTTCATGTCCAGATTTGTCTCTTCCTCGAGCTCCGCCCATACTGGACCCTGCGACGAGAAAGACACTTCGCTAGATTTATCTGTATTAGGCGTACAAATTAATTCGCGGTATCCTTTTCGGAAATTGTTTATTTACAAAAAAAAAAAAAAAAAAAAAAAAAATGACTTTCTACAGATTTATGCCATTTTTTGGATAGTTGGTGGATCCTTCCTCGAGAAGATAATGGTGGTTTTGAATCGATAATTAATTGTGGGGGCCAAAAATTAATTTGTACACCTAATATAGTCTATTGTATATACAATTTTCCCACGTTCCTTCCCACACTCACTTGAGCGGGAGAGTCCAAAACGTCGACGGAACCACGTTCCGTCGGGACCGCCGGTACCAGCAGCCTCGTCCAGTAAAGCGGCTTCATGGGCACCTCTGGGCACATCGGTTCTTTTCGCATATCTAAACGAGTAAGATCGCACTGATCATCGCGATATCTCGACCTCAGGTATCACGACAACGCGGCCCCTGCGTCCTGGTACTCACGCGCTCTGCTCGCCGGGTTCCATCCTCCGACCGGTGGGGCTGGTAATGGGCACGGTCCTTGGGTTGTTGGGAAAGCTCCTGGCGGAGGAGGTGGCGGTGGTGGTCCAGTTCCGGGTGCACCGAACAATGGTGGAGGTGGTGGACCACCTGCTATTCCACCGATTGGTGGCGGGGGTGGAGGTGGCGGTGGTCCTCCGATGCCTGGCGGAGGTGGTGGTGGCGGTGGTATTCCTCCAATTAAAGACGGTGGAGGCGGCGGAGGTGGAATCGGTGGTCCTCCTATACCGCTTATCGAGGGTGCAGGAGGCGGAGGTGGGGGTGGAGGTGGAGGTATCGAGGAACTTTCGCATAGTCCACCGATCAGAGGTGTCGACAATGACGGTACTGGTGGAGGTGGAGGTGGTGGCGGTGGAATCGAAGCGATCGACGGTGTCGGTGGAGGTGGAGGGGGCGGCGGAGCACTCGTTATCACACTGTTAGTTGGCGCTGTGGATGGCGGTGGAGGTGGGGGCGGTGGAACAGGTGGCGATACAGGTGTTTCTCTGCTTAACGGTTGCAGGGGTGGCGGTAGAAACGGAGGAGGGGGCGGGGGCGGTGGTATTCCGGTTAACGACGGTAAAGTTTGCGACGGAATCGACTGTGCTGCTAGGGGACAGGGCGGTAAGGGGGGTGGAGGTGGTATGGAAAAAGATGGGACAGCTGGAACCGTGGGTATACTAATAGGACGTTGATCTAGGAATGGTGAGGGTGGAGGTGGCGGCGGCGGCGGAGGCGCGATAGCTGAATTAGAATACGCTGGAGGGGATGAAATTGGTGGTGGCAGTGGCGAGGTTGACGATGGTACAGGCGACATACGAGTGGTTCTAACCGCGTCGTTTCTCGCGCATCTCGCGTCTTTCGAGCCATTCGCGAGCGGTGTGACGGAAGACGGTTCTTCGAGAATAACATCCTTCACGTTGGACGCCTCTAATGGCGAGGGGGTATCGCCAGAGGTTCTTGGCCTGGAGGGCGAGGTCTGCGTGGATTTACCTTGGGTCGACCTGTTCACTGTTCTAGTTAGTTCACGAAGTCGCTCGACCTCGCGTCTTAACGTCTCCCTTTCCGAGTCTCGACGATCATTCTCGGGTAGTTGTGCGTTAGGGTCATTGGACACCGGCGAGCCGACTCGATCTTCGGGCTGGTCTTTCTGAAACATCCGACAAATCGTACGAAGTATTATTTACACTTTACCGACTTGTAGCCTGTTAATAAACTTTTGCATTTCAGTTATATGTACATAGTCGGTTATTGAGTTATGGTAATAAATCTGCACGTACGTTATGTATTCGAATGATATTATTAAAAAGCCACAATCGTTCCATCTTACCGTGTCGTTTTTGCTCTCTGGCTCATCGTCGAGAGCGATCGTTCCAAGCAGCCCGTCCGAGTACAGTCTCGAGTACAAGCTAGTCGCGAACTGTTGGATCTCAGCCTCCGTAAGCCTGGATCTGATTTGTTCCGGCAGGGTTGAGATCAGCGTGACGATGACACGATTCTCTGGAAGATTAAATGGCCTTTCATCGTACATACATTCGCCCACTTTCCCTTTTGAAAATCGCGAGACAACCAGGCGAACCTATGCAACTTTTAACGATCAAACTCGAGCACGATCTTCCGACTAGTTCGTTCTTAGTCTCGACAGGGTCCCAGGCCTCGTTCGACATTGGTGGCCCGTTCTTATATGTCCTTTCACAGATCTTCCACGATCATAGAGTCGCTAAATCGTGAATTAACGCAGAACCAACAGGATCGTGCTGCTGATGTTGGCTGCTCGCAATTAGATTCGCTAATCACCGGATTAGTAAGCATTGACCGACGCGTTAACCTTTTACGGATGAAAAAGAGATAATTGCGAATCGTCTGGTTCACCGGTAACTGCGTCGAGCTCGTTCCCCGCGACACGAAGCGACACCTCCACCGTTCCTGTGTACGTCGTCATGTTTGAAACTTCCGACACACTTCGAACGTTGTATTATTATTATATATCCGTCGAAAGTCGAGGGACGAACGATCGTCGACGATGGAACACGCTGAAATGAGGATGCACGAGCGGGACACGTGGCATAATCACACGCCTCCCTGATATTTCTTATCGTCCCTCTTATCGACGACACGCTGGCTAATCTCGACGTTTAACTATCTTAACCGAGCATGATTCGCGAATGTCTTTCCATGCAGAACCATGACGGTTTCGCCGATATTAGCCGAAAATTCTCGTGGCACTGGATGTATGGTTGTACGTTCAAACAGTATACGGTACATTTTCGATGAGTGTTCGTAGGCTCCTCGACACTGAACATTAAATATTTCATAGACTAATAGTCACTATGACGTATTTATAAGAAGTCACTATACACCTGGGAACCTCTCCTTGTCAATGCCGACTATTATTCAGCTACAGGGTTCCATGGAATAAAACGAAAAAGACTGGAATATTTGAAAGAAATTTACGTTTTCGTAAGCTTTCGTCAAGAATAAAGGGGCCAGAAGTATTTTAAATCTGAAATTAGTATGCTATAAGAACTTGTTTAGTTACATTAAAACGGAGAAACCAACAATTATACAACACGTGAAATGATTAAATGAAGTTACGCTACAATATTAAAGTGGTAGTAATTGGGACATTTACCCCCAGCATCTCCAAGCCACTCGGGACATATTATTTAAATATTTCGATCAATCGTAGATCGATTACAAATCGATCGAATTCACGAAGCTATTGATGTTTCGGTTTAACAAGCAATGAAAAATCACTTACCAGTTAGAGGACACGAGTCAGACGGTTCGTCGTCCGGGACTTTCGGTACCGGAAATGCATTGATGGCGATGGATGGCGATGAGACGACAGCGGGCAACTCTTGTTTCGCAGCTTCCGTTACGCCTGTACCTAGGAATATACCGACACCGTCAAGGTAACGATACCTTTATTCATAACTGGTGTCGAAAAAGAGTATCGATATCTAGTTAGTCTCGCATCGAAGGAAAATGAATACAAAGTTCTTGTTTATTAATATAATATATTTTAACCAGAGTTGAGCAGAATTTAACTCGAATAATACATACTGAAAAGCTGCAGTATGTAAATTCGTCATCCTGAACTTGAAACAGTTAATGAGATTACATAATTCTTTGCGAAATATCGATTCATTCGCCAAGTATTATTTAATTATAAAAATTGGAATTTCCACATTTAAACCATTACAAAATAACGAAGTACTTTTTTATCATTTATTTGGTATTCGAAAATCTTTATTTAGATAATCAATTTGCCCATCTCTGACTATACCGAAGATATATTTTATTAATGAACATTTATTAACAATGTAATATAACTGGACGACAAACACCTTCACATTCACTAGCTTTCATATCGATCACCTTCGATATGAGTACCTTTTTTCGATACCGACTATATGTATGTCGCAACCAAAAGTATTGATAGTAAAGATACTCGGTATCGAAACGAAAGTATCGATTATTTACATGTATTTACTTGGATCGTTTCATTCCTACCTGTACCTTCGGGATCGGTGTACACGCTGTCGCTGGACGATTCCTGGCTGGGTGGCATCGAGGCCTCTGACACGACCACAGCCTGGTTGACCATCCGCCAGTTATCGGTCACCAAAACGACCGGACCCTGCCTCTGAGCGAGACAGGAGACCGGTACCATTAATATATTCGACAGATCCACCTCTTGTTTCGTGTCGGTCGGTTCGACCGTGTCTGTCGATCGTCGAGATCCATTCTCCGGTTCGATTTTCTCGCGATCCTGGGCTATCTTATCCGAAGCCACTGGACCAGGCTCAGGGATCTATTGGAAATGGTTGATCGTTCAGATTGCCGATACCTCCTAACCATCACAAAACCCGATATCGATTCGAATAAAATAACAACTCTAACTAATAACTAGACTGCGGATTTTCTGCATTTATGGACAATAGAACTCTAAGAAATACAATGAAAGACAAAACTTTCATCAGATGTAACGATATCCGGTTTTAATTCTTAACCCAATGAAATACTTGAGAGAAAAAGGAAATTCGTATCTTTGCTCTTGCCTTTATAAATCATGTTATAAAATGTTATTTTGCATAAAACTCCGCAGTCTACCAATAACCATATAACAAGTTCCACCATCAAGACAAGATTTTCGAGTTTCAATCATCCATCCTGTTCGAAAGGAACGCCGGGTGGTTCGATCTTCCTAATTACAGAGTGAGTAAGAAAGAGACAGAACGCATGATTCCGAACCCTGACCTTTCTCTGAGCAGATCCAGGTGGCTTAGGAGCCTGCCGTTTCCCATGGAACGGCGTCCTCGACTTCTCGAACACGCTTCTCTCCTCCTGTCTACCAGGAGGTTTCCTTGGTGATCTATATTCCGTGTCCCCGTCATCGCCGGTCTCGTCTAGGCCGTCGATGGAACCACCAGCGCTCGCTGTGCCGTCCTGACCCTTGCCCTTCTTGGTCCTCTTCTTCCCGTCGCTCTGCAGATTGCCCATGGTCGGGGCACGCGGGATCTCTGTCCCTCGACAGGCGGTGGCTCTCGAGCTGCCAGCAGCGACGTTGGTGGTGGTGGTGGTGGTTGCTGATTGTCCAACGTCCCCGCCGACATAGAACGCTCTGAACGTGTTGATACAGAAGCGGGCGATTTCGCGCAGCGTTGGCCTGGTTTGCCGCGGCGAGACGGCGGCTGCGCCCTCGCCCTCCTCCACCGTTTCCATCCCCCAAACGGAAACGGTCGATACCACGGACGCGGGCGGGTGTCCTCTTCGCTACGCGGGACAGTGCGAGGACACGCGTGTGCCACGAAAAAACCGCCCCTCGAACGAGGATAGATATCGTCGCGGAGTGGCTGGATCGTCAGAAAAGTTCACTGATCACGGCCGTCCCCGTTCTCCTTCACGTTTCCCACGTCATGGGTTAGCCATCTGGTTTTTATGGCTGGGTTATTTTGGAGATTCAGTCGACGCGTGAAACTAGCTATTCGATTTGTAGTTCCTTGTGACGCGTGTGGGATGCAAGAACCGATGTGTGCGAGTGTTTAAATGTGAGTTTTTGGATTTTATTATGTAGGAACAGTAGAAAGAGTTAGTTCACGATTTTGGAATCGCTATAATCTTTCACCGCGTACGGTCTTTATCTCTATTCGCGAGTGTCTTCGTGTAGTTAACCTTCGTTCATCCCTTCTGTCGATTTGAACCATTTTTCTTTCCAAGAAATTACGGTTATTTTGTCATTTGTGGGTAAATTCGATCAGAGGCTTCGTGAATTATATTTTAAAAAATCTGCGAATTTTCAGACTCGATTAAATATGAGAGACGGATAAGGGTTAAAGGTTCATTTCTAGCGAACATAGTAATTAGGACAACGTGCCTCTAGAAAGAGATAAGCAATATACAACGATATCTCATAAATGGCTTTGATCAGCTAACTTTTCTGACGACCAGGTGTATAAATCGCTGATCTCGTGTTCAGCAACCTATTCAGGGTATCTACGAACTAGGTAAGAGCACTGCCCGCGCAAAGTGGGTTATAATCTTTAAATATTCTCCGTACTTACTCTTATCCCCTCTACACTATCTCCAATTCATTCCGCAAATCAGATTCATTGATCCCTGGACTGTTATTGTTGACTCGACTGACTCTACATACACCGACAGAACTAATCCACGAGCATCGTAGTCTGTTTTACGGCACGACGTATCCCCCAACTGCGTATTACGAGGACTAAAGCTTCTCTTACCTGGGAGATGATTGCGGTCCGCTCGGTCCAGGAGTCCACGAGATTATTCGAGCCGGTGTCTCCCTTTCTTACTCCTCGTCTCGATCAGGTGTCCACGCGCGCACAAGGTCGATGCCTACACCGGTATCGATGACGCGCCGCGGCGTTCCAGAGCGTCACCAGCCGCGTATTTACGTTCGCACGCGTCTTCATGGAAACCGGATCGATTACGGGATCTACGGCCTCTATGGTTGGATCAGAAGCGGTATTCGCATCCAACGAAATATGACGTTCAATTCTACCCCCGACAGACCGCTACATCGCCGCGAACTACACACTTTGTACCGCCCGACGATTGAACCCCGCCGCCTCTCGGATTGTAGGTCATCTGGCAAATTGCCATTCGACCGGCCGAAACCTATAAGAAACGACATTCTTCATTATTCGAAACTATCCACCGATTCATCCTGCCTCGATACCGTTCGCCGAATTATCGATTCCTTGATGGTTGCTAAGGAAAACCTCTCGATAGAAGATCGAATCGATGTGAATGATTCCACGACGAAGCTGCGTGTGTCCTTCGCGGGTCTACTTTGGGAAGACTGTGCGTGACCGCGGAGAGATGAGAAAACTGGGCGATGATGGTGTCACTGGCTCGCGGAGAATCGTCGATAAGCATTTCCGGCTTCGCGTGAACGATGAGAGATTTGTTTCACGAGACGTTTCAGAGTTCACTGATAGGAGATGGAATTTATGTTTGACTTGTCGTGAGATTAGTGAAGGAGAAAGCACCGGAAAATTGTGTTTAAGTAAACACCAGAGTCTACAGAGGATGTCTTACGAATACTTAGGAGCCTTTTCCCGCGCTTTTTGTAACATTTTGACAATGTACTGTTTTGATATTATTTATTGTTTCTTATTATTTTGTTCGTAACTTGAAATTAGGAAACCGAGTGGAGATAGTGCTGGGAATAACGAATAACACATATGTACGATTTGATTGTTTTTTTATTAAAAAAAATCTTAAAAAATCTTACAATTCCGATGGTTTTTATATAAATTTAACAATTGTCTTAAATACTACTATATATATCGGATATTCACACTGACATGGTAAGGGGGCCCTAGAACCCCTATAGCATGCGTTAGAGACACCGTGTGTGTGATGTGAAGTGTGTAGTAGCACTAGTCGGTGTTACTACACAGTATATCCCACACACATGGGGTCTCTTACGCATACGTTACCAATTCATGTAATTTTTAGAATATTGATATTAATTTATGAACCGAGACTATGGTTTCACAAGTTTCGAGGTTGTTGATACAAGAATAAATTAAAATATCATTTTTATTAAGAAAATTAATTACATGCTTATTATTGTACTTATTTATACAGATTTCTTTAAGAAGAAATAAGGTAATAGGAATTGGGAGGAAGGTGGTGATGGGATTAATGCACAACGCATATGTACCGTTTTATTGTCTTCTATTTAAACAATTCTAAGGAAATATACAGTTCACAATATAAGAGCACAAAGAGACATACAATTAAAATTATCGTATAAAGTATAAGATAATAAGATTGTCAGCATTAATGGCATTTAGATTATTCCGACAAGCTGTTGTGGTACGAATGGAATTTTGACATTCATTTTAAGTCCCATTCATTTTTGTAGTAGATTGAAATATTCAAAGTCCCATTAATTTCAATGTCATTCCAATTTTGAAAGTGCTACATACGGTTCTCATTTCTGTACAAAATGTTCGGTTTGTTTCGTTTCATAATTATTTATGGAAAAACCAGTAGTCTCTCTATACATATATGTATATGTAATATGATTATACCTACGTACTGTTGCGAAATTGTAGTATTTTTCGGCTTACAATTTGAGGCCGCGGGATTCCGGGAATAGGGTGACGTCACGGCGTGCGAGAGAGAGCGGTAGAGCGAGCCGCGGTATCGGTGCTCTCCGTCGGTGTTGACGCGTGCCGAGGAATTTCGGTGGTCTATGGGGGGGAGGTGTGCGAGCGAGAGAGTACGGTAGAGCGTGCCGAGTATCGGTGCTCTCTGTTGGTCCAACGCGCTAGTGAGTTGCGTCACCCAGTTTATTGACTTAGCCGTGTACGCCGTGTACCAAGGTCGTACCATCCCGTGCAGGTCTGTGCTTGCTTCCTCACTTTGTCGTGAACCGTCGCGGAGGGTGGTCGCGCGTCTCATACTCGTCCTTTCTCTTGTTACTAACCCATTGTTTGTTGCAGGCATTCGACAACCATCAATTTATTTACTGTGCATATTGTTGTGTCCCCTCTCTTGTTACTAATCCCTTGTATGTTACAGATGTTCGAGAACCATTGGCTTCGATATTTATTTTCTTGTGTACTGTGATTCATTTACTCTGATTTATTTACTCTGATTTCTATACTGTGATTTATTTACTGTGCATATTATTAATCTATTTACTGTGCATATTGTTGTGTCCCCTCTCTTGTTACTAATCCCTTGTATGTTACAGATGTTCGAGAACCATTGGCTTCGATATTTATCTTCTTATGTACTGTGATTTATTTACTGTGATTTATTTACTGTGCATATTATGTATTCTATGTGTATTGTATAATGAAAAATATTTTTCCAAACAGTTATTCCATCGAAAGAAGACATCGATCAACGTCTACATCTTCAAAGCGTGCGTCTACCACTGCGTTAAGTTACTGTAAGTTAAACTTAAATCATAATTCGATATTCATTGTTATATTCATATTCATCATCACATCGTTTATTATTAATTTTAGTCTATCTATTAATAGACTTAAATTGTGATCAGCCATTGTGCATACCAAGTTATTATTAATTCATTTTGCTCGTTGATTTCTCTACACAGACTTGGGGTATGGGCAGTGGGTCTGTACCTATTATGGTACGGGCAGTGGGCCTGTGCACTAAGACTGTTTGCCGATCCCTCTGGTTTCTATTGAGAAGCCAGATATCGGACGTGTTTAGTCTTTGCCTGGTAAGTAGGATTTGGAGTAAAGGCTCGTGCGCGCCTGGGTACAACGTACCCGCCTACGGAGTAGTCGGGAGTCTGCTCCGTAAAAGGACTCTGTTTTACAGGGGATCTCGCTTGCACTACCATACTTGGTCATGACCTGTGCTCGGGTCTGGTACGTAGGTGACCAGCCCAAAGGGCCTGGAAAGTGAGAGATGGATTCGGGTTTGCGAGGTTGCGCCCGTCTTTCCTATTTTCTTAAACCAGGTTCTGGCAACACTTTCATCGCGATACTTGTTCATACTGTAGTTTAACGTGGTTCATCGTAGAATTAATTTTTGGCTTGGTATATTAGGTGCGTAAACGAAATGATCGATGGAACTTTTTCCATTCCGTCTATCTCTTTCGTTTGAGTATTAGCGACTACATTGCGTTAAATTTGTTATTTCGTATTACTAGCATTAATTCGTATTAATTAGAATATTAAGATAATATTAGTTCTAAGCTGAAGAACGAAGACAACCGACGAGGGAACTTAGTTTTTTATAGGTTTAGGCTCAAGAAAGAAGTCATCCGCCGAGGGATTTTAGTATCGGTAGTATTATATAGTTAAGATTTAAGTAATTTATAAGGTTTATTGTGAAAGGTGGGTAGATGTAGAACTTGTGATTCCATCTACTTGCCTTGGGCCTCCACTCGCAGCAACCTCCTCGTGGTGAGGCCTGGGCAATCGGTATTGTCATCGGTAAAATACTGTAAACTGAAGACAATATCGAGCCAATGGCTGCGAACTTCTAATCTATTTCATAAAACCACGTTCTATATTACATCGAACTAGGATTATTTTAGAAATCGATATGAAATTCAAAGTGTAAAAATGTCTAGTACTTTGAATGTTTTAGAAAATTATTCGAGATAAAGATGTATAAAACTACTGAAAATTACTTTAGATTCCTTTTCCTTATTCTGTAAATTCATTGATTGGAATATGAATGCTACTGGAAGCATGAGTATTTCCACAGGACAATGATATAAATGGAACTTTAAAACTTTTTTA